CTCTTCAGTGTCAAACTTTTTGGATTTTTCTCAAAATCACTGCTTCCCCTATACCTCCTTCCCCTTATTTTTCTTCCCCCCCCCCCCCCCCCCCCCCCTCTTCATGTCCTTCCACCTTGTATCCTCTATTACCATGAGCAAACACTAATACACGTACACTCACTGTTATTCCGCCCGTAGACTGATCATCGGGGCGCAAAATGGTTTCGGCGAAGCAGGGGGTGTCACGTCCCACAGAGCCTCGCTGTAGTCATCCATCTTTGCTCGTTTGTTTGATCACACTGCCTCTAACGGTCAATCCTCAACATGGAAGGGAGACGGCCAAAGGTGCAGCGTCGTAAAAGCTGGCATTTTCATATTGCAAGCTCCGTACTCTGTACTCCGTACTCCGTACACCAACTAGATCTGCGGGACCATGAGGCTTCTAGATCTATTTTTCGCCTGCCAAGAAACCCAATGGGATAAAATGTGATGAGGATCATCTGCCTATTTCCAGCCGGTCAACACCGACACAAAATCATGGAAGTCCTTTCGGACCGTGCTATATTGAGTTCATTTCGAGTTTTCCAACGTTCAAACAACTTCTCGCCAGAATAATTGCAGGTGCCAATCCATGTACGGCGAACAAGTAGACAAGGACAAGAGTAAAGAAGCTCAGGGGACTTCGTTCTGGCTCCGGTAAGCCCCCAAATATGTGATATTCATATGTGTCAGGACCTCGGAAGAAGACATTGGAGGCGATGGAGGCATTCGAGAGCGAGATCCGGGGACCGGGGACCGGGGTAACCCCACTTTCGCAGTGTGGGGACTCCCATAGGCTCACGCGTTGCATCTCACGCACAGAACCTAAATGATCCCTAATTTCGAGACTGGAATTCTCCGATCCCTTGATATTGGACATCATACGCTCTGTACTCCGTTGGCGGCAAGTTGACTTGCGGTAGACGAGATGGTAGAAAAAGAAGAACGGGTGAACCTTGAAAGTGATAGGCAGCTCATAAGACCTCGGGTGGGACCAGCCCGGAACAGCCGAGGTCGGAGGATATGACACCTGAAATATCAGGTGTCAATATCAGAGCATAATCGGCCTGCTCCGGTGAGAATTCAGCACAGCAAGGACATCAACTGCCACCTCCATCGGGAGCTAGAAGCAGATTAAAGTTAGACCCTTGTTGCCTCGTTGTCCCAACACGAGCAGCCAAGCTCATTAGAATGGAGATCTGAGAGAGTGCCGGCCGCACCCGCCCCCCGCCAATTGTGGGGAAAAGGCGAATCGCAGGACCCGGAGTGTGTCTCAGTCTCACCCCGTGGAAAAGAATCAAACCTAGAGGTCGGTAGTGAATGGTTCGGTAGTCTAAATTGGACTTTCCGGGGTACATGCCAAGCAGTGGGCGTCTGGGGGAATCTCATGGCGGACTCTGTCTTGAACGGGATACATAATGAAATGACTGGAAAAACACGGGTGGACGAATCAGAGTGGAGGGCGATAGAGTCGTAGACGGGGACCGGCGACAACCGAAAGACTCGATTTCACGATGTTCACGTAGCACCTCACTGACCCACTAATATGACATTGCTATCATCTACTTATATCACTAAATGACCGTATCAATCCACCTATCTCCACCCTTGTTTGCTTCTTTAGATCGCTTCCATTGTTGTGTGCAATTCATCTTCTATCTTCAAACATGCCGGGACGATATCTTGGCCTTAGGGGCAATGCCCTCCTTCGCGCTGCAGTAATGCTGGTGGTCTGTCCAACCTTCACCTGTTATGGTTACAACATGAGTGTGGCCGGTGGCCTCTTAACACTCGAGTCCTTCAATACCCAATTTCCAAGAATGCAGACAATCAATGTGCCGGATGACGTGAAGGCAGCCAATTCTCTGATTCAAGGTCCGTCAATTGATTCTGGCAGCCGATGGTTGGTCTCCCTAACTCAAGTATACAACAGGTACCGTCATCGCTCTCTATACTGTCGGAGGTATCTTTGGTGCTCTATCATGTGTCTACCTGGGTGATCTATGGGGTCGTCGCAAGGTTATCTTCGTCACCAACTTCGTTACTATCATCGGCGCAATTCTCATGGCATCCTCGTTCCAATTCGCCCAATTCATCGTCGCGAGACTGGTTCTCGGTCTAGGTATTGGTGGATATGTCGCCACCGTCCCTGTTTGGCAATCCGAGATCTCACCGGCTCACAAGCGAGGTTCAAATGTCGTTACGGATGGTATATTCGTTGGTCTGGGTGTGACTATTGCCCTGTGGATCGATCTCGGCTTCTACTTCGTCAAGGATAACTCCGTCTCCTGGCGCTTCCCTCTCGTCTTCCAAGTTGTCATGTCCATGACCGCCATGGTTTTCATCACTATGCTCCCAGAATCACCCCGCTGGCTGATCAAGACCGGCCAAGTCGAAAAGGGCCGTGAAGTCCTCTCTGCCCTGCTCGACGAAGATGAGCATTCCGCCGCCGTCAACGAAAGCGTCACCAACATCGAAGCATCTCTCGCATACTGTGGCTCCGGAAGATGGACCGATATGTTCAAGAACGGCCCCAACCGCATCTTCCACCGTGCTTACCTCGCCGCTACTGGCCAGATGTTCCAACAAATGTGCGGTGTCAACCTGATCACCTACTACGCCACCACAATCTTCGAACAATACCTTCACATGGACGCCGTGCAGTCCCGCATTCTCGCCGCCGCAATGGGTCTCATGCAGCCCTTTGGTGGCTACCTAGCCTACTATACCATCGATCGACTGGGTCGCCGCCCCCTCATGCTTTGGAGCGCAGGTGCAATGGCGATCTGCATGGCCGGCCTGGCTGGCTGCACCGATCCCGTAGCAGCGGACAACACTGGCGCCTTGGCAATGGCTGTGGTATTCCTTTACTGTTTCCAATTCATCTTCACGGTCGGCTACTCAGGCCTGACATTCTTGTACGCAGCAGAAATGGCACCTCTGCAGGTCCGCGCGGCCGTTAGTGCCGTGTCCACAGCCACGGTGTGGGCATTCAACTTCCTGCTTGCAGAAATCACCCCGGTCGGGTTCGACACCATTGGAAGTCGGTACTATATTATCTTTGCTGTGATCAACGCCGCCATCGTGCCGAGTGTATACTTCTTCTTCCCTGAGACCAAGGGACGATCGCTGGAGGAGATCGATGAGATTTTCGCGCAGTCAAAGACCATCTTTGATCCCCCCAGGGTGGCGCGTGCTATGCAAAGCCGCGTCGTGCACATTGGTGAGACGAACTCTGATGCTGAGAATACGGGGTCTAATGATGATGTTATCAAGGAGGAGGTCAAGGCTTGAAAGAGGATATGTGATCCCTTTGCCCTTGTGGCTGAGGCTCAGTCTTCAATGTCGTTACGATGGGAATTGTATATATGGCCAACTTTTAGCCAGTCGAAATAAGAGCGACGGGTCGCTCCCAGGTTTCTACCTAACCTGTATCTATCAAGATGGTTATAAGATTTCCCTCCACTGTAAGCAACTGTATGCTATAATAATCCGTGCCCAGGTGAGCTCCTCTAAGGCTGGATGGGTTGAAATACTTGCACGTGTGTTCTTTGTGTCCGGCAATGGCGTTGTATGGCTAAGTTCAATCAGTGCAGGCATTATCAGATGAAGTTACATGCCTGTAAGCCGATCCTCGAGCGGAATCTCGGACAGAGATCATGCGTCTGTGGAGGAGTCTGCTGTGGCTACAGGCTTACAACCGAGAGCTCCCCCAAATTTAATGGGGGCCTTGAAGCTATGGTAGTGAGATTGGGGGGCTTTTCTTATCCCCAGCTCTTGTGGTTATTGCAAGCCTCCCTCGTTCGTTATATCAAAACGAAGAAGTAACTTTCTCAGGTGACAGACACTCGGTCCTGCATTGGTATCTTGCAGCTTATGTCTACAACTCAACTTGATCTTCTCCTCCCATACCTACTTCTTCTTGCAACCTTCCTTTTCCAGCAACCTTCCTTCACGCCCTTCCTTCACGCCTGTTTTCTGTTTTTCTCTCAACTTCTCCGTGTTATTGTCAAGTGCAAGATGAACCAAGATCATCAAAGGCCTCGAGCCTGCCAGGCTGAAGCCCCTTCGCCAGATCCATTGACCTCACGCAGCCCAATATCCACAGAAAATTTTGAGCGTTCACCCTCCGTCGAGTCAATACTTGAGATTTACGGCGAGCGAAAGTGTGATGTCTCAACGCCAAAAATCTCGACACTCAGCAAGCGAAAGCGATCTGACTCCCCATCACCAAATTCCAAAAGCGCGAAGCGACAACGGACATCTTCCAACGGGGACCAAGTGTTTTGCCATCAGCTTGGAATTGAGTTTACTGGTTTCATTTGCCTTCCGGGTTATGACCAGGCACATCTTGTTGCTCGTCGTATCTATGATCTTCCCGTTCCAGAAAAAGTCACGAAACGTCTCATATTCTATGTGGATGGGTCCGCACGCTATTTTTGCGGGGGCGTGGGCGTTGTTTGGCGCAGCAACTGGGGGGAAACAGATCAAGACAACGGCGAAAACAACGGCGAAGACAACGATACTGGCGAAGATAATGGCATGAAAGGTGGCATGAGGCGTGTCTCGAGGCGTGGCAAGAGAAACAAACCACCTGTTCTCTCGCATCAGCGTGACTTTAAAGGGAAAGGCGCCTTTTTTCCCTTCAGCTCAGATGACATGGCCGCGATAGAACTGTTTGCCATTGCATCTGCCCTCAAGTTTGCGATCCAGGACATTGAAATGCCCCATGCAGATTCACGCCCATCCTGGGGCAAACGTGACTGGCTCCTAAACCCTCGACATGAGCCTACTCACTCCCCCATGCACAAAATGCAGAAAGAGCTGTTCGTCTTCTCCGACCAAAAAGAGGCTCTCGAACGCCTGGCCGGTGAGAGGCTGATCCCATCAACTGGATATATCGCAGAACAAGTGGCTGATGTATGTCACTTGTCCAATGTTCTGGCCACCAAAGGTATCCACGTTGAGCTGCACTACAGTCCAGGCCACAGCGGGATTGCCGGCAACATAGCAGCACATCACAAGGCACGGGCTTATCAAACCGCGTTTGCTGACGTTACGACAAGTTTCTGGCCTGATGAGGCGTACGCTGCGGGATTGAAGATCTGATAGAGTGTGGGCGAATCTATCGATGTGTTGACTTCATATGTGCGCTCCCGCTAGGGGAATAAATTCTTGTCTGCTTTACTTAAACTTTTTGTTGAATTCAGCCTTTCAGGCAGCCACCAAACAGTATATTGCGAAAAAGAGTCACTCAATTGACTTACGTAGGGGTAATCATTAAGTCACGAAGCAAATAGCAAAAAGCCTGGCCCGGACGGACACCTTGCCCTACAGAGAGTATCCATGGGTCAACAAGGTGATTACAAGGTGATTTGGCGTCGCCTCTTCAGACATCACCTCTTATTCATTCTTGCCCTCCAAGTTTCTCTTCTTCTCTTCATCAATATTCTTTCCAACCTTTCATCAGACATTTCCTTTATTTTGATTTCATCTTTCTTTCCTTTTCTAAGCCACGTTATTCTTCTCATTTGGTAGATCAGATTCACATCTCGGATTTTCAGCGAGACCACAGAACAAGGGGTTAGATGGACTCTTTGCGACCAGGATGGCCACCACGCGAAAACCACCAAACTTGACCGATTTACCACTTGAGCTATTGATTATGATATCGTGCTACTTATCACCCGTCGATATTGCTTGTCTCGCTCTAGGCAATCATCATCTGCGGTGCTGCTTCGTCGTGGATGCTTTCGAGGTCTTCTCAAAGGGTCGCAGCCTCACGCCAGCTCCCACAGATGATGCACGTACTGAGCTCCTATCTCGGCTTTCTCGCGATCTACCACAATACCATCTCTGTTTCATCTGCCTTCGACTTCATTTGTGGAAAGACGTCGGACCTCCAAACTCTGATACTCCCACACACGATGCCCACTTAAGTGATTTGCTTGCTTTTGCAAATCTTCGTCTTACGTTTGAAATACAACTGTTTAGCTACCCATCGCTTAGCTGTTACATCTTCCAGTTCGTGCATCTTCAGCTTGCCATGAGAAGATTTTACCACGGACCAGAGTTTGGAATCCCCGTTGAATCGTTGCTCTACACAGAAGTAGGAGCCGCCCAAATCGGACCCAAAGACTCTGTTTTACCACAATCTCCTGCTAGCAAGGTACCAAACTAAGACTCCCAGAAGGATACCATGATGACGGTATTCTCCGCCGAAGCTCGTATCTGCTCCACGCCTCCGGGCTTATGCATGCGGACGCAAGATATCGGAGTTGTGACTCGACAAAACGCATCGTGGATGTGGTCAGACCGTGCATTAATGAATATCTGCAAACATATCAGCACTTTTGACACGAGCCTGTGTGAAATCTTGACTTCTCAGATCAAGCGTTATTGTCCAATCACCAGTACCTCGGTCCCGGCCGAGCAAGGTCGTTGCGATAAATGCAATACCAGTTGGCAGCTAAAGATTCGAGACTTCGATGAGAGGCGTGCAAGTATCATCCTTACTCGATGGATGGACTTGGGACCGGGTCTAAGTATCGAAGATGTGGACTGGAAGTACCGCCAATTATGTTCATTGTCGAGTCCACCAGAACGCACACTAGTGGACTCCCGTCTGCGGTTCGAAAGGGACCCTATTCGGGCTAGGCTTCCAGGTGCTCTGTCTGAAGAGGGAATGTACCGGAGAAACGTCGCTTTCCTGCGAGACAAGGCATATCGAAAAATGATGACTTACGTGGGCGATGGGATCTTCACACTGCACGGAGAACCAAAAACAAAGACAGGCTCTTCCCAATGTATCATTCTCTGAAACAAACTAGCTGGAGGCTCTAGTGCTTGCTGAGAAACGACAAGGGCCAGCGCAGGCGCCAACTACATGCCAATACAATTGGCACATGGCTGGCGCGCTGGCCATTGTCATTCCAGGTATCATGGCGTGAGCACTTGGACTACGATCTAAGATCCTCCCCCCAAGCCCTCCGCAGATCCGGAGAAAGACGTCGGGGATTTGACTGGCGGTCCTCGGACCAATGGTGAGATCTCCGACTCAATGGCGTTCCTTCAATGGATCGTCAAGTCTCAGGAAGAGTCAGCAGATGCACAGGGCTGACTGAACGTGCGCTTTAGGCGTTGCGTCATGTCTGCAACAGACAATACCCATGCTCCATGAGAGCTGCCGCATCGTCTGAGAACTTTTCCTGGTCAAGCCAACGCTGATCAAGACACACTGGCACACCCAGCTCATCCCCACCAAACACACCTGTGCTCTTGTGTGGTCTATAGGTACCCTCCTCGGGACATCCTCCGACTGTGAACAAAGCAGCATGACACCCAGCTTGTTGTCTGGTATATACCGGGCTGGGATTGACCCAGGGTGCACGCTGCTTCCTCGAAGACCGGTATCCTTATGGATCTTTTGGTCTCTTTGAACTTGCAAGTTTCATCGGAGAATTTATCCCTCCTTGCTCTAGCACTAATGAAGTTGTTCGATCTTGACTTTGCTTATTCGAGTGTATTTCATTCAGAGTAGTTCAATTTCAATTACCTTCTACTCATCATTTCAGTCGTTGGACATAATTTCAACAAGAAAATTTCCACTTGTCGATTGATGTCGTTTCCCATCCTGCCAAGAGCGGTGATTGGATCCGAAAGATCTGAGCTCCTCAGGGAGATAGATCCCTCTCCCTCTCTCCTTCTCTCTTCTTACACTGTTCAATGCGAAGTATGCATCACCACGCATGCCTGCGAACGTCCGGCCGAAGGCATGCGTGGTGCTGCATACGACCTATCCTCGATTCTGGAGTGGGCTTCCTTCTCCTGGGAAGAGCGATTCGCAGAGCCCTTCGATATCAAGAATGGCTCTCGCAATGCAAGAGGACGTTATGTCAGGCACGCGAAGCCTCCGAGAAACCCCATCGAAATGGTCACAAGCTTATCAGGGACAAGCAAGATCCTGAGACCTGCTTCGCTGACCACTGTGACTCAAGTCGGGTATCGTATGTTCTCGTTCCATCAGCCAGACCATCCTCGAGGCTCATCTTCCTCAATGCACTTTCCGGTGGCACCGAGGTTGTTCAGGTCATGCCACCAACCGCCGGTGGAGAAGCTGTCTTCTGTTTGAGGGAAGTCCACCGAGGAGTCTTGCCATATTTGAGGATTTGGCAGGGGGCGTAAGAACACTAGGTATCCCACTCATCAGTTGAGTCAATTTATCACCGAAGATTTGTAGTTCTCACGGGTATTGTCGAAGTTATAGACGTGGATCGCACGAATCCGGGAGGCAGCTAGAGACATTGCTAGTGTCAGATGAATTATCTTTGTAGGTCTGCGGCCTCAATCGAGACTTACCAGGAAGCTCTTTGTTCATGAAAATCCAGCGACACAGCGAGGTTATTGTGTGAGGGGGGCGGTTTGCGACATGTGCTACGCCAGTGTGATAGGACATGGCGGAAGTTCTTCGTACATGATGAGCCAGCAAGGCAGCGAGGTGATTGTGTGAGGCGGGTGATTTGCGAAATGTGCTGCGCCAGTGCGATAGGACAGGGCGGAAGTTCCAAGGCGTGCGAGGTTTTCGGAGATCACAGCTTTCGCGGACCTCATTTCAAGATAACACATGATTTACTTAAGACAAAAACATCATGTCCTGTATTACAAGCTCACTGATATCGCCTAGCATGGTTTGGGGAGAGGTGGCGTGTCAAGATGGCAAACAGCTATCCGTACCCCAGGAGCCTTGTAGGGACAGGCTAACTGAAGCAAGAGGAAAGGAAAAGGAAAAGAAAAGGCATATATGTGCTATCGAGTATGAGACAAGCGAGATTCATGAAATCCCCGAGTCATTAAGAGGATGATTATAGAAAGAACAAAGGTTATAAATAAAACAGGGAAACACATGGATAAGCTGGCCTACCCGATGGGCTAGAGTTCAGTTCAGAGAGCAGTCTGGGGAAGGACAGTCTGATGACGAAATCCCGAAACTGCGCACCGATATCCTGGCGCTGAAGGCAGTGAAAATCCTTAGAACGACAGGCAAGGTACGGTGAAACAGGACTCCGTACTCCATAAGGTGCCATAACATACCGAGATTGGTATAGCGTAGCCGAGGTCCCCACCGAGATCTCTCGAGGGCCGGGCTAGCTTACATACACCTGGGCATACACCTGGGCATACACCTGGGCATACACCTGGGCATACACCTGGGCATACACCTGGGCATACATACTATGTACATATGTAGTATGTCCACGGGTATCAGCAAACAACCCACGGAACCAGAACCCCACTTGACATCATTCACCTGCACATGTGAAGTTCACCTGTTAACATCACTTCACCTCCCGCATCTCTCTCAAACATGGCCCCTCTCATCCGTGTTATCGGCTCCCTCAATGCCGACATGGTCTCCATTACACCCAGATTCCCGAATCCAGGCGAAACGATCACCTCCTCATCCTACTTCACCAGCGCAGGCGGCAAGGGCGCAAACCAAGCCGTCGCATGTGGGCGGATGTCCAGATCCAAACCAAAGGGCGATGCTAGTTCCAATAGCAACGTACATGTTGAGATGATGGGCGCGGTAGGGGCATTGGATGGACACTTTCCTGCCTTGTTGAAACCGACACTTGAGCGATCGGGTGTTGATGTGTCACGGGTCAAGATTGTGGACAATGCCTACACGGGAGTAGCAGTGATTATTGTTGACTCGTCTGCTGGTGGAGAGAATCGAATTGTCTTCTCGCCTGGTGCGAACTACGATGGTATGCAGCCGACACCAGAGGTGCTGGGTATGGCTCTGGCGGCGCCTATGCCGGACGTTATTGTCATGCAGGGCGAGATCCCGGTCGATACTATCATCGGTACATTGCGAGAGATTGCAGCGCACAAGAAGAAGAGCCGCGGTGCTGGAAAACGCGGCATTGAGTGCGGTCCGGATGTCATGCTGAACCCGGCACCTGCCCCGCCTGACGGTCTGCCGGAGGAGGTGTATGCCGGTGTTGATCATTTGATTCTAAATGAGACGGAGGCCGGACTCATGACGCCGCCTACGGAACAGTTACTCCGCACAGTACCCGAAGCAGGAACCCTAGACGGGAAGGAGAAGGTTGCTCGATACTTCCACAAGCTCGGTGTGACGTATATACTTATCACACTGGGAGCCAAGGGTGTTTGGTACAGCGCTGCAGATGGGGGCTCATCCGGGCCCAGCGATGGAGTGCGTCGATTTACTATTGAGCTCCCAGCCGCGCCTGTCTCACGGGTCCTGGATACCACTGCCGCGGGTGACACATTCGTTGGAGGGTATGCTGTAAATGTTGCGCGGTGGCGGGAGCAGCGTCGCGCGCAGGGCCAGGCTGGGCAAGACGTCACGGATTCGGAGAAACCGGACCGATACAAGACGATTATGGATGAAGCGATGCATCGGGCTGTGCGTGCTTCTGCTCGGACTGTGGAACGTCAGGGTGCGATGGACAGCATTCCTTTCGAGGATGAGTTCTAGGCAATTTCGCCACCCAGCGGTTTTGCCATTACATTTTTTAGACGACAGATGAAACCTTAGGTATGAAGATTAAACCGATGTCGATCGGCAAGTTCTTTACTTCACGCGGCGGGATTCCGACGCGGGTAGACGTCGATGGCACAAAGGACTGGATCTCCGATCAGGGTCTAAGAATGCAGGTTTAGGAATATCCCGAGTCCCACGAGGGGAGGCTTGGGGGCGCATCCCTATTAATAACCCTCATTCGACCGCTACCGCACTAAGAATTGAGGTTGAGGGGCTGAATTCCCACGCCTGTTGAAACACAGGCATTTTTCCACCCTGGAGCGCGAAACCCCAGCGCAACGGGAAAATCCTGTTCCACTGTCATGAACGATCAACTCGGTGTCTCACTCCGTAACCAAAATCGGTAAGACTGCAGATGCGCTGGCAAAGTTTCATTGCTGCAGCACGCTATTAGCGTCGTAGAATTCACGTCACGACACAGTAAGGAGACGTGACCGTGGAGTGCATGTCGTGTCGCGCGTAGTGGTACTAGTACTTGTGTGGTGGGCCTATTTTACACGAGACGCGAAGTACCGGGTACCTCCTGGACGCGTCTAAGGGATACTCGACGTGACTAGGGAATTTCTGGATTCTCCAGTTACCTGGGTGAGCGTCTAGTTGCCTGGGTATCTAAGTGCCTAGATGGTTACCTGGGGTACCTCAGCTGGATGAGTTCCTTGACAGGGATTTTCAATGGTGTAATAGAGGCTACTAGAGATGGTGGTTCTATGGGAACAAAGTTGCAATAGAACAAAAAGAACATAATGCTATTACCGTATGTACGTACAATGCAGACGAATACAATTGAAATGAAAGGCGCGTATACACGAGGAGGAGAATGGATCACTGGCATGAAACACCATTGGACTGCATTAAACGCCACTTGAGGAATTGGCATCCAACCCGGCCTCCGAGATGCCTTGCGCGCGAAGACGCGCTATGCTTGAAATACTCTCCTGCTCCCTCCATTTGTGATCCCTCAATTCCATTTACCCTTTGGCACCTTGCTTTCCCAAAGCTTCCCCCCACTTTGAAGTTCTCCGATTATATCTACCTCTCGATCGCACATCTGAATCATTTGTGTCATTCGACTTCTGAATCATCCCTTCCCTCGTTCTCGGTGTAGCAGATTCTACCCATCCTCTCATTTCGGTGGATCAAAACAAGGCATATTGTGACCATCTATTTCCTGCTACCGTTTATTGTTTTATTATTCAAGAACGGCACTCCCTCTCTTTCAGTGGCCGACACTTTTCCTTATTTTTGCTTTTTTTGACTTTATCCGCGGGGGTGTAGACCGCCGATCTCCACTCGACCAAAACAAACCCTTAACAATGGCCCTCACCATGACTCCCACTCGCCAGCCCTTGGGCTGTTTGGACTCGCCGCACATGCGTCCGATGATCCGATCGAAGCTGAATCGCCAGAACCAGCAAAATGGTATGTCAGATCCATGGTCGGGTCGACGGCCCCAGCTAACGGAACCCTGGAACCAGTCCTCTCCCTGAAGGGTATCAACAGTCCCAAGAACACTATCTTCATCGACTCTGAGAACATCGAGCCGAGCTCTACAAAGCGTAAGCGCACTCTGGACGACGACGAGGAAAACTCCAAGCCCAAAGCATCACGCGTGACTCTCTCTACCCGCATCCCATCTCACATCACAACACCCAAGCCCTCGCAATCAACAACTCCCAAATCTGCACCAATCAGGCCTGCCGGTCGCTCCCCGCCTCCCAAAGCCAGCAAATCTGCTAGCCGTCGTTCAATCACCAAGCCCAGGGACGTGAACAAGCGCGGTGTCGCCCGTCCCTTCTCCCTCGCCTCCGCACTTGCTCAAAGCAAGAGTAAGCCCAAGCCCAAGCCCAAGGCTCCAGAGGCCTGGTGCTTCGATATTCACGTCGACACCGAGGAAGAAGAGATGACCAACTTGATGCAACACTCCACCACCGTCCTCGACATCAGTGACGACGAAGGAAAGCCCACCGATCGTCGTGGCAAGGAGAATGTGCCCCCTCATGAACTGGGCCTGGAGGTACCCAGCGCCCATCAGACCACCACGGCTAGCGCCAACGCGACTGCGAAACGCAAGTCACTTACGGATCGTGCGCCGCTAGGGGATCTCAACGCTGCTGAATACTATGCCGATGACTGCAACGCCTTCTCCTTCACGGTCGTCTACGAAGATGAGGCTGAGTTCAAGAAGCCTGCCTCCCCTCTTTCGCAGAGCCAGGAGGCTTTGGTGGCTCCTATCGAATCTGCTGCGGAGGCCGCTGCTCCCAAAACTGAAGATGCAGCTGAAAAGCCAGTTTAATCTTTGATGGGTCATCGAAATTGTCTGCATCTGGGTGTCTGGTGTTATGGTTCTCTGTCTGGCTTTGCCCGAATACCTATTTGTTTTCTTGGCGTTCATATTCTGGTTCATCTGCTGTGTTTGGCGTTGGTGTCTTACTTTGATTTTCTGCTCACGACTTACGTTCCTCACTATTGTGAGTACCGGGCTGAAGTCGCTGCTTCTTCGCCGGTTGCTTAATCTTCCTGTTATGTCTGATGCTTAACGATGTACGGTAGGTATACTTAGCTAGCAATGAAATTCTATTTTCAATCATCATATTACCGAACCATTTATATCGGAAATTACTCATCTTCATCCTCGTCCATGCGTTCACTCTCATCTCCATCTCCCTCGCCCTCCCCATTAGCCTCGTCGGCGTCCCTCGCTGCTGCCGCTGCTGCCACCTGCTCGGCAATCAATTCCCGCCGTTCAATTTCCTCTTCCTCGCCTTCACTCTGATCAAACTCAACTGTTTTTTCCTCATCCTTCTTCTTCCCCTTTCTCTTCTTCTCCTTCTCTTTCTCCTCTTTTGCTTTTTCCTTCCTCTCCTTATCTTTACCAGCAGTCAAAGTCCTCCACATTGGTGCTCCACGGATCGCAGACCTCACCTCCGTAGCCAATGCAATCTCCTTACTGCTGCTCGTCTCAAGATCGAGAGTGAAAGAAGGGAAATCTTCCTCCGAGTACGCATGGTCCGGAAGAGTCATAACCAAAGAGTAGTCCTCGTCAACAGGTTCCCGGCCTTCCATTAGAACTGCAATCTTGGCTCTCATGACCGTCTTAGCCTTTGCAAGTGTACCATTCCCGAACCAGCCATCAGTGACGATATCACACTCCTTGCGCAGGAAATCAGGCCCCGGGTTCTCGGGATACAGGACTGCGTGCAGCTGCGGATCTTTGATATCACCAACCATCCAGATACGGCCATCTGGCGAGAAAGGAAGTTTGCCCGTGAAAATATGACCTTCTGAAACAGCAGAGGAGTCCGAATTATCAAGGCGCACCTCGCTGGGGCGAGGGAGGTTGTGACGTCGTCCTCCAGCACCATCACGCGCCACTTCTGCTTCTCGGGAGAATAGGCGGAACATGAAGGTTTGGTAGTGGCGGTAGTCTGGGGAGGTGCGAGGGTCAAGACCCAGCTTGACGATTGCGTCGCGCCATGGTCCGGATCGGAAGATGTAGCCTATGTAAGGAATGGCGTGGCGGAGATTTGAGCGATGCTCGTCTGAGGATAGATTGTTGCGTATACCACGGCGGGTCCAGACTGGGTGTATTTCATAGAGCGATTGGACGGCGGCGATTGTTTGTTGCATGCTGGCATCCAGGGATTCGATGGGAGGAAGACTCTCGCGTGCCCTTTGTGGAACTATGGGGATATCGTAAGAAACGAGATGTGTAAGAACTTTGCTCGCAGTTGAGGTATTGAAGGTTTCTAGTTCGCCGGATTGGGTTACTTTCTTCTTCACGGTTGGGTTTTGGCGGTAGCTAGATTGTTAGTTTTGTTTTGTTTGATTTCACTTGTTTATGGTGGTTGGTACTCACATGTAATGGAATGGGACATCGCCGTGACTGAACGAGGGTGGTGGGATGATGTCCACGTTCTTTAGGGCACCTTTGTCCATTTCGATGTCGAATTGCTTCATTTTATCAACTAGAGATTATTAGTAGATGTTCAAGTATATCCTTTTGGGTGTGTTCTCACAGTCGTATGAAAGGATCTGCTCTTTGAACCTATTTGCGAAAGAACTCGCTGTCGTGGAGTAGACAAAATCAGGCATTCCTGCGGCCTTTAGCTAAGCTCGACGAACCAGACGAAAACGATGAACAAACCTCGAAACACATGAGTGTGCTCTACACTCCCAACCGGCTCAATTTGGTATTGGGATGAGTTATCACTCAGACTGCGCAGGAGATCCTTCGCAGTGCGTCGCCGTGGGTTTGCAGCTTCAGACTCTGGTGGATCTTGAAATGGTCCATCGGAGCCAAGCTTTCGTTTTCTCCCTGTCCTTTTAGGGACGGTCACTTTCAGCAAGACATTGTTTGATGGCACATGGGTTGACTGGACTGGTCGAGCCATGGCATCGCCAGGCCGCAGCGCCAAATTGACCTGTGGATCTTCCTTTTCCGGATCAAGTATCTGTCACTAATCAGTCGAAAGAATTCTATGGAATCATGTATTGTGTTTCTCACGGATTTGATTCCTGCATCCCCTTGTAAGGTTTCAATGGCCTTGTCGAAGCTGCGGACAAGAGCAGGGTGCTCAACGCTCACGAGCTGGCGGGATGGAACAGCATAGAAGGGTGCTGTCCGAGGATTCCTCCGGTCATCCATGATATGTGGAGGACTTCCAGACATGTCAATTTGAAGATTCCGGTCTGGTTCAAACTGACTTGTAGTTCGAAGGCAGGCGTTGCTTCCGGGTTGGGTCACGCCGACACGATGGGAAAAAATAAGCCGCTCTCAGAGGAGAAATGAGGCTCAAGTAATATGGGATTCAAGCCACCTCTTTTGTAGTCCACAATCAATAACTTGAGGGTTTCGTCTGATATTCAGTCTGATGAAAAGGATCCTACATTCCACAAGTGGTTTAGTGTCCAAGTGCCGCACCGGAAAATTGCGATGACTCAGCATTCACTTTTGCCCAGGTGGAACAGCATTTGACGTTTCAGTCCTGAACAGACATTCATTTCTTCGGATTTTGGGCTGTCTACCATGTCTATCAAAAATTTGATTCCATGGTCGGAAACGGGATAACATTTGCTCACATAACCCAGCTGTTCCAGCTACCGGTCCATGGATCTTTCCTCATTTCATGATATCAATACAATTCCAGAGTTTGTGCTTCCTCTCCAGCCTGTCTTCTGTGGTTCTTCTCTTGTGAATATGTGTCTCTGGCTAGTCTTGTAACGTTCCGTTCTCGGAGAGGTGCTCAGTCTTCCACGTCGTTGTGTTCAGGATTTGAGGTATCGGCAACGAGTGTGCACGGTGGCCCATGAAGGCGTGGCGTCATTCGGGATCATGGGCCTTCTGGTGCGCGTCTCACGAGTCGTTTTGTCTTGGTCGCGATTCTCGGCGCAATCGTCGAGAGAAAAATTCGCGAGTGGATGCCAGCATGCTCTTCAGCTTGCGTCTGAGTGACCATCTGGGGTTGGGGTTGTTTGTTTGTGGGGCATCAGTGCGAGGTCTAACTTGCATCGAGGGTCGTGCAGGTGCTGCGTCATTTCCATTGGGCTTGGGGGCACGGCCGTAAATAACAGGAATCGGGTCCACTGAGGCAGCGAGCATCTCTGGAGAGACGAGGCTTCCGTATTGGGCCATGATCTTTGAGACTCGAGGGTTATCGCGGTGGACTCGGCAGTCAGGTTTGCGAAGATCTGAAGAGAACACAGATGATTTTGGGGAAGCAGTGGTAGTTTATGAAGAGGTGTCTGTCCCACTCCCCAGGGCTGGGATAAAGTGCTTTGTTTGCATCATATAGGGAAGGCATGGTGAGTGTGATTCTGGGAAGGAGCAACTGGGTTCGTTTCAACATTTATGCAACCCTGCGAGCTCCCGAGGTCACGAGTTCAGAACTCATGACTTTGTCATCTTAGGTTGAACCAATTTTTAGCGACCTCGATACTTAAGTATTGACCAGGCCGCTTGGGTTTGTACAAGATTCGCCAAACACAATATGTTTTCAGGGCTCCTCGCAACATTGACCCGCAACTTGGACACCCAGCTTGCAAGCTGTGAGCTTATTTCCGAGGGATTATTGGGATATATGAGTTTCCTCCAGTTTATTACGGTGATGATGGACCTCAAGATTGCCCCGGTTGCAAATTTGAATCATACACCCCGACGTTGAAGTATATACTTCCGCCCATTGGTGCCATGTATGAACACAGGCTAACCAAGGATTCCACCCAAACAAACCATCAAACCTACCATTCAAGACCCAAGTAGCCCTGGAGGCAATGACCATCAATATTGAGATCTACATCGCAGGCAATGACTACATGTATGGAATATCTAGGCGTGTCAGATCGGGTCTACTTTGCTATAGTATCAATGAGTGGGGTCAAGTGCACAGACCGCTCTCACCATGTGAACTTCCAAGGGTTTTCCAACTAATTCAATATGCACTTTTACATCTCATATCCTGTGGACTCCATGCCATTTCTGATCAGGACCACATTTGATGTGACGTCGTCGGTACCTGAAAATGAGAATCGCCTTCAGGGTCACGTGGATGTATGACATAAGCAAGTTCTAACCAGTGGGAAAAAAAAGCATACACAGAATGGTAGGAGAGAGAAGAGAGAGATAGAAAGAGTCTAGTAACCCCTTAATTTTGCGCTCAGCATCAAAAAAGCCCACTCTGATAGAAATGTAGAAATATAGGATTTGTACGGGGTCGTGGTTCATCACCACCAGAGCCAGGAGAACCAGCCCGCTTTCCCCTACACCTCAACAACAATCCACCTTCCCTCCCTCCTACTTTCTACCAACATCATCATCTTTGTTTGGTCCATTGCAAATCGTCGCCTAGGCGCTTTTTTAACCTGAATTTGAGACCCGTGCTTTTGCTGTTGGCAGAGACCCGAGAGTCTATCCACCTGCTCCCATTCTCCCCCCACTCCCAGCCTGCCACTTAGCGACTCGGAGATCCTTTGGCACCAACCGACTACGTCCTATAACACCTACACCCTCACATCACTCTTGCCTAAGACCGGTCAATTGTTGAACCTGAAGCTACGGAGGTACGTTTTGACAAGGCATTATTGTTCTAATGCCTGTATTGGCTCTTCCCAGCATTGGATCATCTTGCCCCGTGCGCGTGCTGCGACTGCACCCTGTCTCGAGCGCTGGACGTCGTTGCCATTGAGCCTCCACTCCCCTCTGAGCATCGCAAGGTCAGGAAGTCAGCACCGCGACATCTTCTCCATCCAGACTAGTCAATATACATGCCGTGTGACTCGGACCGCTCAACCTAACTCCTATTAGGTCGATCCAAACAATTTCCCCCCTCTCGTGGCTGTTCCGAGCGATCGTCTTCGTTATTTCTCCTCGAATCGCCCTGGCTAGAGTGCGGCGCCTGGCTGCACTGGAACCTACAACATCAGCCGAGTACATGTGGCTATCTAAACAGTTGTCAAAATGAAGGGTTTCAGACAGAGAGTGGTGAGTTGCCCGCGTACCCTCTGGTGTATCTCACCGCACGATCACTTCCGCACACCGTTCCTTCCCACCATGTGGTCCACTTATTCATCCTGAGCCATGCTGATATCTATTGCCTCGAATATAGCACGATCAGCTGTCGCGGGCGAAGGACAACAAGTCATCGAAAAAGAAAGATTCCAATTCCGCTTCCCAGAACCAGGCGTCTCTCGGCATTTCCAACACACAGCAGTCTACATCCCCTAGCCAAGGTACACCTACCTCGTCCACAACCTCACTGAATGATTCGCGAAACAAATCACCCGACAATGCCTCACCTGCCGGCACTCCTTCTGTGGGCGGCGCACCCCACCCTGGTACCCCGGTCCAACACTATATCCCGCAAGCTGGTACGGCAGGCCAGCCCGTGAGCAATGGACCAGGAACTCCGACCCGGCAAGGGCAGCCACCCGCACCCAGTGTCATCATCAGTCCAAGCACGGTAAGTCTACTCATCTCACTCACTCACAAAAGAATGACCGCTGACTCGCGATGGTATCATAGCACGTTCCTCCTCCAGGCGCTGCTGAAACGATGCCTGGTGACCTCGCGCCCCCGAGAAAGTCTCATGTCTTCGATCGTCTGCAGACCACCCCGAAGGATATGTCGGAGGGTATTCGAACCCCCAAGCGTCAGCACTCGTCGCGATTTGATATCTCGGATCAGCGCCAAAGAGAGTTGGAGAAGCTGCCAGGATTCCATGAAGTCCCTCCCAATCGGCGTCAAGATTTGTTCATGCAAAAGATCGACCAGTGCAACATTATCTTTGATTTCAACGACCCTACTGCCGACATGAAGTCGAAAGAGATCAAGCGTCTGGCGCTGCACGAACTCTTGGATTATGTTGCCAACAACAGGTCGGTCATCACAGAACCCATGTATCCTCGTGTGGTTGAGATGTTCGCCAAGAACCTGTTCCGTCCCATCCCCCCGCCCCTGACACCCCAAGGCGAAGCGTTCGACCCCGAAGAAGACGAGCCCGTCTTGGAAGTCGCTTGGCCGCACATTCAGGTTGTTTATGAGTTCTTCTTGAGGTTTATTGAGAGTCAGGACTTCAATACCAACATCGCGAAGGGTTACATCGATCATCAATTCGTGCTTTCGGTATGTCTGAAGACTGACATTTGGTTGCGGTGCAAGCTAATATCTCATTTAGTTGTTGGATCTCTTTGACTCGGAAGATCCTCGGGAACGTGACTTCCTCAAGACGACCCTTCATCGCATCTATGGAAAATTCTTAAACCTCAGATCTTATATTCGCCGATCTATTAACAACGTTTTCTTCCAATTCATGTACGAAACAGAACGACACAATGGAATTGCTGAATTACTCGAGATTCTGGGCTCCATTATCAACGGCTTCGCCTTGCCTCTGAAGGAGGAACACAAGCTCTTCCTGACTCGGGTGCTTCTCCCCATGCACAAGGTGAAGAGTTTGAGCATGTATCACCCGCAATTGGCATACTGCATCGTTCAATTCTTGGAGAAGGACTCAACCTTGACCGAAGATGTAAGTTATCGTGCCACTTTCCTTCCGCCAAACACAAATGCTCACAATTGTTCAGGTCGTTCTCGGGCTGCTACGCTTCTGGCCGAAGACCAATAGCACCAAGGAAGTCATGTATCTCAACGAGGTTGAAGACATTTTCGAAGTCATGGATCCTGGCGAGTTTGCCAAGGTACAGGAGCCTTTGTTTAACCAGCTGGCCAAGTCTGTTGCTAGCCCCCATTTCCAGGTGCGTGTCAATTGCTACCTACCCCCCTCGAAATATCCTTCTAATCTATATTCGATGTGCAGGTCGCTGAACGGGCTTTGTACTTCTGGAACAACGAGTACTTCTGCAACCTCGTGAGCGACAACGTGGAGACAATTCTTCCAATCATGTTTGCCCCTCTTTACGAGAACTCCAAGGGTCACTGGAACCGGTACGCCGATATTAACTGTGTTTATCAAGAAGCGGCCCCGAACTAACACTTACTTTAGCACGATCCACAGCATGGTTTACAATGCGATGAAGATGTTCATGGAAATTAACCCACAACTCTTCGACGAATGCTCTCACGAATTTACTGAGCACCAGAATAACGCTGACCAGCGTGAAAAGATTCGCTCAGACCGTTGGGATATCATCGAACAACAGGCCAAGGATAGGAAGAATGGCATTCCCCCACCTCCACCTCCTGCTCTTGGTGTCCCCGAGCCGATCGATGAGGTCGAGGCCATGACCCATGAAAGCCAAAAGCGATTGAACACGCTGAAGTTGCAGGAGGAGCCTGATGCGTCCAAAGAACGACCCAGCAGGGAAGGCACCCCTAATTCGGTAAGTCCCGTGCAACTCTGATCCGTCGCTTTGCTGCCCAGATACGTGCAATCCTATGCGAAATACCCTTTCTGGCCCCGTCGCCCTTGCTTTTTTTGTCTTTTGCTAAGAGACCACGTCCGCCCCTATAGCCAGCGTGATTCTAATGTGAGAACGTCCGTTTGTTCCAGACACGACGCCGAGGCTCTATTCGCAACAGTGGTCGGAGACGACGAAGCGGAAGCGGCAGTGAAGTTCGCCCGCGAAGACGATCGGTCGGCAGTGGTACCAGCGCGACCAATGTACAGATTTTGCATCGCAGCAATTCTACCAAATAATGTCTCGGAGGGAATGGACTGCTAATGGACATGTGTTTTCCGTTTTTCTTGCAACGGCATAGCGACCCCGGGCAACGATTGGTTTTGTCCTTTGATTTTCGTCGGAACACGCCTGGATTGATGCCCTTTAAACTGTGCCTGTCCCCATTTCCCCTTTCTTTTTCTTTTGTGTACATGGACTTTTTGATCTTTTCATTTCCGTGACTGATTCCTCGGTTTCGTCCGTATGGACATCTTTGGAAGCAGTCTTAGAACCGTGTTCGGGTATGGAAAATGGGTGCGAATGGCGTTTCCATCCATCGACGATGTCGGTGGCTGTCTATGTGTTGTCTTCTTTTTGTTTTTTCCCCCCATTATTTTAGACTAGGTCTAGGATATGACATTGCCTTGGAACCTGATTGGATGATTTGCTGTACACGGAGTACTTCCAGTGTTGCTCAAGCGAAGACCGCACTGTTTGGGGCGGGTGACAGATTTACTTAAGTACCAGATATCGGCGGCCTGTATGTAGGGAAAGACACCTTGCCTCATTTTGATCTCGCTCCAGGGTTTGGCGAAGATGTAGACGCACAGCCCTTTGCCTTAGACTGGGTATATTGTACAAATATAAGTATCTAAAGGAAGTACTCCATAGAGTAACATGCATAGCTTCGATATCTGGTTACTTCAAGTGATATAGAGATATTTAACTTGAGAAGTACTCTTAGTAATTTTGATAGGATTGAAAAGATTATATGAAGGAGGCAAAGCTTTAGAATATAAAGGTCCAATTCGACGAAGAGAACTAAGATAAAGAAGACTATGGAGATCTTTAGGGAGATCTATTCTTATGGTGCAGAATATGTTAAAAGTGCAAATGTATAGAAAGTAAATATGTAACAGTAGCAAATCATCACAAGCTGTATCATTTAAGGTGGATAACAGATTTAACTAGATATCAATAGCCTGTATACCTAGGTATAGGGAAAGACACCTTGTCTCATTTTAATCTTGCTCTAGGTTCTAGTAAAGATCTATAGATGTAGACACATAGACTTCTGCCTTAGACTGGATATAATGTACAAGTATATTTAAAGGGAGTTTTCTATAAAATAATATACATAGCTTCAATATCTAGTCATTCTAAATGATATAGAGATACTCTTAGCAATTTTGATAGAATTAAAAAGGCCATATAAGGGAAGTAAAGTTTTAGAATATTAAGATTTAATTCAACAAAGAGAACTAAGATGAAGAAGACTATAAAGATTTCTGGAAAGAACTACTTTTATAATATAGAATATGCAAAAAATGCAAATACATAAATATGCAAACACATAGAAAGCAAACATGTGATAATAGTAGCAAATCATCACAGACTGTACCGTTTGAGGCGGATAACAGATTTAACCAGATATCGGTGGCTTGTATGTACCTAGGTAGGGAAAGACACCTTGCCTCATTTTGATCTCGCTCCAGGATTTGGCGAAGATGTAGACGATGTAGACGCACAGCCCTTCGCCTTAAACTGGGTTTAGTGTGCAAATACTTAAGTATATCTAAAGGAAGTAGTACTTCATAGAATATCATGTATAGTTTCGATATCTGGTCACTCCAAGTGATATGGAGATACTCTTAGCAATTTCGATATAATTTAAAGGATCACAAACACCAAATTGCATGCCCCTATCAAGGAGAACAGGGAATATTAAATCAATTGCAACATATTGCTATAGATGGTGCCTGGAAGGGGCTCGGAACCGGATAAACTATAGCCGACAAAATTGCCTAAAGCGGACTAGTGTTTCTTTCGGGGTCTCTGCGATAGCCCGCGTCCTTCTGTTCTGCTCTCGTGAATATCGCGTGCATTCAATACCTCAAAATCCCTCCTCCAATAACCTCGCCCTTCCCCGCGGGGTAATTCGATTCATTCCTTTGCTGCCCGTCTTCCCTTTGAATTAAATGGACTAGGCAGCCTCTCTTTCTGGAAACTCAATGACTTGATGATTCCCTTCTTTTTACCTCTTCCGTCTCCGATCTTTTCGCATATCGATCGAGTCCACACAGCTTCCGTGCCACCACAACACAACACATGAGAAGCCAATCCTCCTCCGGAAATACTGCGCACACTCCGCCTTTCTCAGGCGGCCTCTTGGCCCGGCCATAATTCCTTTTTATCGCCATTTAGAGGCTAGCCCTTCCGCCGGGTGCGATCGCAACCATGGAGCGAAACATAGATATCTATGCCACCAAGCTTGGCGACGAGAAGCTAGGTTCGTCAACTAAATTGCCGTTAAATGCGTCATTTGTACCGCTATCGTGCTGACCGCTCTCCCATTAGATGTCAAAGTCCGAGCCAACGTCGCTACGGAGTTGCGAGACAATATCGAACCCCTCTGCGTTGGCACAAATTATCCCATTTTTCTAGCGAAGCTATGGCCGGTTTTCAAAACAATTCTCAAAGGAGACCCGGTGTTCTTGAGCATGTCTTACGAGCAGGTGAGATCTAACCGTTTCGAGGGCTGCTTCGACTTTCCCCAAATGGGGATAATCCCTGCTTACCTATCTCAAAATTCACTAGAAACTCCGAAACTGCATTCTAGAGACACTCCACCGATTACCGATGGGCTCCCCCGATGTCGAGCAGTACGCGGTGGATATGGTCGACCTGCTGATGGAACTCGCGCGGATCGAAAATGAAGACAATGCGGTGCTTTGCATGAAGACCATCATGGATTTGGAGAGAAATCAAGCCAAGGCTACAGCACTCCGGGTCCAAACGTTCCTCGAGCTGATTCAAGAGATGTTCCAGACCATGGAGCAAGTGGTGCGGGATACTTTTGACACACCAAACCAAGCCACACCCTCGGGCATGCCGTCAACGCCGAACGCAACAGCACAGAGCTTCCAGTCTCCTCGACCAAGCTCGCCCGCAACCTCAGTATCGGATCTCGGCCCAGAACAACAGTCAAGCAATGTCCTGCTGAAGGGCATGCAGTCGTTCAAAGTTCTTGCCGAATGCCCGATTATCGTTGTTTCGATCTTCCAGACCCACCGCGCGTCAGTTTCAGCTAATGTGAAGCTGTTCGTACCGCTCATTAAGACTATCCTGTTGCTTCAGGCGAAGCCGCAAGAGAAGGCACACGCAGAAGCTGCAGCACAGGGAACGGTTTTCACAGGAGTCTGCAAGGAGATCAAGAACCGAGCCGCATTCGGGGAGTTCATCACAGCACAAGTCAAGACGATGAGCTTTTTGGCATATTTGTTGCGTCTGTATGCTCACCAGCTCCAGGACTTCCTCCCGACTCTCCCTTCTGTCGTTGTGCGTCTTCTTCAAGATTGCCCGCGAGAGAAGTCGGGGGCAAGGAAAGAGTTGCTGGTGGCCATTCGTCACATCATAAACTTCAACTATCGCAAAATCTTCCTCGAGAAAATCGATGAGCTTCTGGACGAGCGAACACTCATCGGTGATGGCCTGACTGTCTATGAGACCATGCGACCCTTGGCTTACAGCATGCTTGCTGATCTGATCCACCATGTTCGTGACCATCTGAGCCGTGACCAGATTCGGAGAACCGTCGAGGTGTATACGAAAAATCTCCACGACGATTTCCCCGGCACGAGTTTCCAGACGATGAGTGCAAAGCTCCTCCTGAACATGGCAGAGAACATCTCCAAACTGGATGATAAGCGTGAGGCACGATACTTCTTAATAATGATTTTAGATGCAATCGGTGACAAGTTCGCATCGATGAACCACCAGTTCAAGAACGCCGTCAAAGTCTCGAAGGCCTATAAAGCCTTCCGCAAGGATATTGAGCCTTGCCCCGAGAGCTACCTCGCTGAAAAGGACCAACCCCCTGATTGGGATGAAATCGACATTTTCTCCGCTTCTCCAATCAAGACATCCAGTCCACGCGATCGTGGTGGTGACCCTGTCACAGAAAACATCTTCTTATTCAGGAATCTGATCAACGGGCTGAAGAACATTTTCCGCCAACTGAAAAATTGCAACCCAGATGATGTACAGATCGATCCAAGCAACGTTCCTGTCAATTGGTCCGAGGTGTCATATGGGTACAATGCAGAGGAAGTCAGCGTTATCAAGAAGCTCTTCCACGAAGGAGCTCGTGTCTTCCGCTACTACGGAGTTGACGAGAGTCCCACTGAGATGAACTACGCAACTCCATTTGACTTCCTTGCTAGTCAGTACACTGCACCGATGTCACGGGAAGAAAAGGAGCTTCTGGAAAGTTTCGGGACTGTCTTCCACTGCATTGATACTGCCACATTCCACGAGGTCTTCCACTCTGAAATTCCCTACCTCCACGAGCTTATGTTTGAACACGGGGCTTTGCTCCACCTGCCCCAGTTTTTCCTGGCTAGTGAGGCAACATCCCCCGCATTCTCTGGCATGGTCCTTCAGTATTTGATGGAACGGATTGATGAGGTCGGGACCTCAGACATGACAAAGGCCAAGATCCTCTTAAGGATGTTCAAACTTTCTTTCATGGCGGTGACTCTGTTCTCCATGCAGAACGAGCAGGTTCTCCACCCTCATGTGACGAAGATCGTGACCAAATGTATTGAGCTTTCAGTCACTGCGGAGGAGCCTATGAACTATTTCCTTCTCTTGCGTTCTCTGTTCCGAAGCATCGGCGGGGGCAGATTCGAGCTTCTCTACAAGGAGATTCTTCCCTTGTTGGAGATGTTGCTCGAGACGTTCAACAATCTACTACTTGCAGCCCGTAAGCCGCAGGAGCGGGATCTCTATGTGGAACTTACCCTGACTGTGCCCGCTCGACTGAGCCATCTGCTACCCCACCTCAGCTATCTCATGCGACCAATCGTGGTTGCCCTGCGTGCAGACTCCGACCTTGTTGGACAGGGCTTGCGCACATTGGAACTCTGCGTGGACAACCTCACAGCCGATTACCTTGACCCAATCATGGCTCCTATAATGGACGAGTTGATGACTGCTCTCTGGGATCATCTTCGCCCACACCCTTATAATCACTTCCACGCTCATACAACCATGCGCATCCTAGGAAAACTGGGCGGAAGGAATCGCAAGTTCCTCAACCACCCACCCGAGCTCTCTTTCCAGCAATTTTCCGACGATAACCCAAGTTTCGATATCAGATTGATCGGTCCGAATGAGAAGAGACCTTTCCCTGTTGACATTGGTATCGACCTTGCTGCTGGTAAACTCATGGAAGTTCCGAAGACGGATGCGGCCAAGGCTTCGGACATCTATTACAAGCAGCAGGCGTATCGTATGCTCAGCTCTCATCTCAAACTTCAGATCGGCTATGATGCTATCCCTGATGATTTAGCCACCTCGATCAGGCTTCATGCCAACGACCTCTTCGAGAACAAGCCTAGTGCTATGGCTGATATCCTTGATAAGTCTGAGAGATCCGCCTCGATCCCGAAGAAGATTGCACAGGAAGCAACAGTGAAGAAACTCATCAAGGCTTGCATATTCGCCACTACAATCCCCGAGCTTGAGCAAACTGCTAAGGCTTTTGTGGCTGATGTTTGCAAGCACTTCGCACTTGTAGAGGTCGGTCGTGCGCTGGCGCAATTCAGACATGGCCGTAAAGCCTTCGACGTTGCCAGCGGCGAAGGTCCCGTGTACCTTGACTCCAAAATCCTGGCCGAGGCCCTAGTCGAGTGCCTCGCGTCCGATGAGGTTCATGTTCGGGAAGCCGCTGAGCAGGCCATGACTGTTGTGAAAGATGCCGCTGGGGTCATCTTCGGATCCCCAGAGAAAGCCGCCAAGCTTCCATTCTTCCAGCACCTGGGTCGTGTCTTCTGTCACAGCTGCTATAGCGAAGAGTGGTTTACCAAGGCCGGTGGAAGCCTGGGAATCAACTTGCTCGCCACCAAGCTGGACTTGGGAGAATCATGGCTGTACGAGCGACACGTGGAGTTCTGCCGGTCACTGATGTATGTCATCAAGGACACACCACTAGATCTGCCGGCTGCCACGCGAATCCAGTCGCAGGAGACCATGGTCTTGATTCTGCAAAAATGTGGAAAGCTCATTCCCAAAGATGATCTCAAGAATGAAAAGACTCGGTTGTATGCGCTTTGTGGCTTGCTTGTCTACGAGTTGGGGCATATGAACAAACACGTCCGGGAGAGCGCCCGTCGTTGCTTCACCACTCTGAAGGAAGTCCTTGGCTGTGAGGTTCATGAGCTGATCTTACCCGTCAGGGATCGTCTCTTGCAGTCAATCTTCAACAAGCCTCTACGTGCCCTTCCTTTTGCAACTCAGATTGGCTTCATTGATGCTATCACTTACTGTCTGAGTCTTCACAACGAGATCGTCACTTTCAACGAGCCACTAAATCGCCTGATGTTGGAATCACTCGCGCTCGCCGATGCAGATGACGAATCTCTTGCGTCTAAGCCGAATGAGTTCAAGAACGCAGACATGATTGTGAACCTGCGTGTTGCTTGCCTTCGCTTGTTATCGATGGCAATGAGTTTCTCCGAGTTTGCCAACACCCCTCAAAACACGAGCAGGGCTCGCATCATCTCGGTCTTCTTCAAATCGCTCTACTCGCGCTCGCAGGAAGTCATCGAAGCAGCAAATGCCGGTCTTCGCGATGTTCTGACACAAACCAACAAGCTCCCTAAGGATCTACTGCAGAATGGTCTACGCCCGATTCTCATGAACCTGCAAGACCCGAAGCGTTTGAGTGTTGCTGGCTTGGATGGTCTTGCTCGTCTCCTAACTCTACTCACCAACTACTTCAAGGTTGAAATCGGTGCACGTCTTCTCGATCATATGAAGGTGATTGCAGATGACGCGGTGTTGCAGAAGGTCTCATTCAGCCTTGTTGAACAGAACCCGGCCATGAAGATAGTCGCCGCCATCTTTAATATCTTCCATCTCCTCCCCCCTGCCGCGACGTCATTCATGGAACATCTTGTCAACAAGGTGCTTGACCTCGAGTCGAAGTTAAGACGCACGTCACACAGCCCCTTCCGAAAGCCGCTCGTGAAGTACCTGAACCGCTACCCCAAGGAGAGCCTGGCTTTCTTCTTCGCCCGCTTCAAGGATGAGCGATTTGGGCGCTTCTTCGGCCAAATCCTGGCTGATCCCGAGAGCGAGGGACTACGAAACGCCATCGTGGGTGATATGGAAGCATTCTCTACTGCGGCATTTGCCCAAGACACAAGTGATGGCAAGAACACTGCTGCCATCAACGGAGTCTATGTTGCACACTCTCTCTGCTCGTACAGCTCAACCAAGCGCTGGTTGGTCTCGCACGCAGACATGAGAACAAAGCTCCTGAGCTCCGGCAGAGAACTGGAGAGGAAGCTCCGCGGTGACAGCTTGCCCGCCGATGAACGTCTCCGCGTGGAACAGGCTGAAGATCAATTGATGGATATATTTACCATGTATTTGGCCGAGGCGACTCACGACCTGGACTTCCTCTTCGAGGTTATCGATGGACTCTCCGCCGATGAACTGAAGCGCACTCTCGCACTTCCTAAATTCATATATAAGAGCATCATTTCAAACGAGTCCATCGACTATCGTCGGTCTGTCATCATGCGCTGTCTTGATCTTTATGGCCAGAAGAGCTGCCCGCAGAAGACTAAGACCTATGCTTTCCGTCACCTAGTCAACCCGATTTTCGCCATGGATGTTCAGGTCACATGGAACAGTCCCCCGAACACCCCCAAGCTCATGGATAAGAGCATGACCGAGTCAATCCAAAGTCGTTTATGGAAGCCACAACTGGCTGATCTAAGCGAAGAGTCCAATCAAGCAGGCGTTGATCACTCACGTATGGAGCTGCTTCAGCTGTCAGCCTTGTTGATCAAGTACCACTCTCAAACGGTGCAAGATTCTCGCAAAGACATCATCAAATTTGCTTGGAACTACATCCGTCTTGAGGACATCATCAACAAGTATGGCGCATATGTCTTGATCAGCTACTTCATTGCCCACTATGAGACACCGTTCAAGATTGTGATTCAGGTCTACGTTGCGTTACTGAGAGCCCATCAAAATGAGGGGAGGGCCCTTGTCACCCAGGCTCTTGATGTCCTCGCTCCCGTTCTTCCAACACGGACGGCCAACAACTCAGGCGATAGGTACCCACTGTGGGCTAAATGGCCTCGTCGTATTCTGGCCGAGGAGACTGCCAACTTGCAGCAGGTTATGAGCATCTTCCAGTTCTTGGTTAGGCAACCAGATCTGTTCTATGAATCAAGGGAACACTTCGTGCCTCTCATTGTTCCGTCCCTGATCAAGATTACTGGCCCACCAAACACTTCCAATGACAGCAAGAAGCTGGCGCTCAACCTGATAAGTCTGATTTGGCACTGGGAGGAGAAGCGCTTGCACAATGCAGAGTCACATTCCTTGACCAAGGGATCATCAGAGTCACCAGTTGCCAGGAAGCGCAAGTTGGACGAGGCTCAGGAGCCATCACCTTCCCCTGCCCTCGGACCTCCAAGCAGCCGTGCACCATCCGACTACACCGTGCCCCAAGATTTGCGTGCGGCATTGGTGAAGTACCTCATCACCTTCATCACGACAATTCCCGAACGATTCTCAGTTCCGGCTGCCCAGATTCGCCAGAAGGCCGCGAACAAGCAACAAAACATCCCAGCCTCAGGAGAAATGATCAACAAGGCAATCAATTTGCTTCGTAGTCTCCTTTCCGCTGAGTACTGGGGCGACCTTGACATCGATCTCTACCAGAAGGCAACTGAGCCCATCTTGGTAGGCGACAAGGGTGACAAGCCCGAGGACAAGATCACATTCATGGTCAACACCCTCCAGGTGCTTAGAGTCCTCATTGGAGCTAAGCCGAGTGAGTGGGTTGCTGCTCGTCTACCTGCCATTCAGAAGCTTCTCGAGAAGCCATTGAAGTCAGACAATCCAGAAATTCAAGATTGTCTTCATGGCCTTGAAGATGAAACCGATTTCGTCCATAAGCTTCCTCCTCCTATCCGGCATGTACTCGAGGCCATCCCAGATGAGCAGCCCGACGATGAGGATGCCATGGACACGGAAGGGACACCTTCTGAGTTTGGTTCGTATTTATCTGCCATCGCCAATGAAACTCTTTCGGCCAATAACTACGTGTCAAGTCTCAATATTTTGTGGACACTTTCCAAGATCAAGCCCGCGGAGATTGACGCACACATCCCTGCAGTGATGAAGGCGTTCTCCACGAAATTGGCCAAGGAGCACGTTGCTGCGTCAACTCAGAATGGCGCTCAGGGGCAGAATGGCGCAAAGCCGGCCGAAGGAGCTGCCGCCGCAGCCACCACAGATCAACAAGAGTTCGAACTGGGTGTTGATCTCATCCTGAAGACCATCGAATTGATTTCCGTTCGTATGTCTCATCTTGGAGACCAACGACGTCCGTTCCTCAGCGTCCTTGCTCAGATTGTCGAGCGCTCGCAAAACATCGAGCTGTGTAGCAAAATTCTCGGAATGGCCGAGTCTTGGGTATTCCATTCGACTGAGTCCTGGCCTACCTTGAAGGAGAAGACAGCTGTTCTCCACAAGATGCTGCTCTTCGAGTCTCGCACCGACCAGACGATGTTGAAGAAGTTCCTTGACCTCGTGATTCGCATTTACGAGGACTCCAAGATCACGCGCACTGAGTTGACAGTTCGACTGGAACACGCATTTTTGATTGGTGCCAGGGCGCAAGATGTCGAAATGCGCAACAGGTTCATGCAAATCTTCGATCGCAGCTTGACCCGTCTCGCGAGTTCTCGACTCAGCTATGTACTCACATGCCAAAACTGGGATACCCTCGCCGACTCTTTCTGGCTGTCCCAGGCATCCCACCTGATCCTTGGATGTGTTGACATGAACACCACCGCCCGGCTACACCAGGACGACTTTACACTCTTCCCAGTGTCTTTCCTCTTTGGCAGCGGAGACAAGGATCCAAGGAAATCGGACATCATGGTCGACAACCAGCTGGAAACCTTCATCACGGAGCGGAGACGCTTCATGTCCGACGTCGGTGATGTCAGAGTTCGTGATCTTGTTGAGCCTTTGTGCCAACTCCAACACACTGATAACAACGTTGCATACAAATTGTGGACCACTTTGTTCCCTCTTTTCTGGTCAACGCTTTCAAAGGAAGACTGCATTGATCTGGAAAAGGACATGGTCACACTGCTCACTCGAGAGTACCACCATAGGCAGTTGGACAAGAGGCCCAACGTTGTGCAGGCTCTTCTTGAAGGTATTGTGCGTGCCACTCCTCGGTTCAAGATACCACCCCATGCCATCAAGTATCTTAGCCGAACTTACGACGCCTGGTACACTGCGGCCACCTACCTTGAGCAGACGGCCATAGATCCTATCGTCGACACGCCCACTGTCCGCGAGAGTAATCTTGATGCCCTGGTAGAAGTTTACGCAGGTTTACAAGAGGATGACTTCTTCTACGGAACCTGGCGCCGGCGTTGCAAGTTTGTGGAAACCAATGCGGCGCTTTCTTACGAGCAGCAAGGAATGTGGGATAAGTCTCAGCAGCTTTACGAGAACGCTCAGATCAAGGCTCGGTCCGGTGCCATGCCATTCTCACAGGGCGAATACTTTGTTTGGGAGGATCACTGGTTGACCTGTGCGCAAAAGCTTCAGCAGTGGGACATTTTGAGCGACTTCGCCAAACACGAAAATCTGAATGACCTTCTGTTGGAATCCGCTTGGAGAAACATCGAAAACTGGCAGAGTGAGGGTAACCGAGAGCAGCTCGAATCACTGATCAAGTCCGTTTCCGATGCTCCCACTCCCAGACGCACTTTCTTCCAGGCATTCATGGCTTTGCTTCAATACCATACGAAGAAAGACAACATCCAGGATTTCAACAGCGTCTGCGACGAGTCCATTCAGCTTTCCATTCGCAAATGGCTACAGCTACCCAAGCGCATCACCAACGCCCATATTCCAATTCTGCAGCACTTCCAGCTTTTGGTTGAGTTGCATGATGCTAGTCACATATGCGGCAGCTTAGCCCAGACAAATGAACGCAACCTGGACACCAAATCCGCCGAGCTCAAGTTGCTGCTCGGAACATGGAGAGACCGCCTGCCCAATCTTTGGGACGATATCAACACTTGGCAAGATCTTGTCACATGGCGTCAACACATCTTCCAACTCATCAATGGTACTTACCTCAGCCTCTTGCCTCCACAGACGAACAATGTGGCCAGCAATTCCTACGCCTACCGTGGATATCATGAAACGGCCTGGATTATCAACCGCTTCGCTCACGTGGCTCGGAAGCACCAGATGCCCGAAGTCTGTATCAACCAGCTCAGCCGCATCTACACCCTTCCGAATATTGAAATCCAGGAGGCCTTCCTCAAGCTTCGGGAGCAAGCCAAGTCCCATTACCAGAATCCGAAGGAGCTGAACAGTGGATTGGATGTGATCAACAATACCAACCTCAATTACTTTGGCCCGCAACAAAAGGCCGAGTTCTACACGCTCAAGGGCATGTTCCTCGCAAAACTGGACCACGTCAACGAGGCGAACGAGGCGTTTGGTGTCGCTCTCTACTACGACTTGCGTCTTGCTAAGGCTTGGTCTGAATGGGGACAGTACAGTGACCAACGGTTTAAGGCTGACCCCACTGATTACGAACTTGCTAGCAATGCTGTTAGTTGCTACCTGGAGGCAGCAGGTCTCTACAAGAGTGCCAAGTCTCGCAAGTTGCTCAGCAGAATTCTTTGGCTTTTGAGTCTGGACAATGACGAAGGCAAGATTGCAAGTGCGTTCGAGAACTTCAAGGGCGACACCCCTGTATGGTACTGGATCACCTTCATCCCACAACTTCTCACCAGCCTGTCTCATCGCGAGGCCCGACTTTGCAAGGCTGTCTTGACCAAGATTGCCAAGTTATACCCGCAAGCTCTCTTCTTCCTGCTGCGCACCAACAGGGAAGACATGTTGAGCATCAAGAAACAACATGACCAAAAGCAAGAGAAGTTGAACAGAGCTAGACAACAACAGCAAGGTTCATCGCCAAGCACAAAGTCGAACTCAATCGCTGGCGCCGAGAGTTCCCCTGCCCAGAAGGCACAGGCCAACGCTTTGGCTGCCAATGCGTCGCCATCAATTGCGGCCGCAGGCTCTCCGGCTACACAAAACCCTGCGCTCCCGAACCAGTCTCCTGCCCAGATTCAGAACACTGTTCAAGCTTCCCCTCGACAAGTTCAAGGCCAGAGCCCACAGGTTGGTCAAACTCCCGGCCAAGCTCAACATCTACAGGTGCCAGGTCAGAATGGAACGCCACAGACTCAGCCCGCCACCGTGGAGGGTGAAAAGGAGCCACTCAAGAAACCTTGGGAGTATTCCGACGAAATCATGTCTGGCTTGAAGACAGCCTTCCCCTTGCTCGCTCTGTCCATGGAGACAATGGTCGATCAGATTCACAAGAACTTTAAGTGTCCTCCAGATGAGGATGCTTACCGATTGATCGTTGCCCTTTTGAACGATGGTTTGGCTTATGTCGGCCGCATGCCTGCCTCTTACGCCCCAGACTTCAAGTTGCCTGCCGCCACGGAAGCTAATATCACTCGCTTTGCTGAGACGATTCTCCCTGCGCACATCCGCAAATCTTTCGAGGCAGACTTTGTTACCAAAAAGCCGACCATGAACGAGTACATCCACAAGCTCCGCCGCTGGCGTGACAAGTTCGAGGAGAAGCTCGACCGTCGACCCCAGCAAACATTCCTTGAGAGCGCATCTCCTCATCTGAGTGAGTTCCGCTTCCTCAAGTTTGACGAGGTCGAGATTCCCGGCCAGTACCTCCTTCACAAGGACAAGAACCAAGACTTTGTCCGTATTGACCGTTTCCTTCCTGATGTGGATCTGGTACGGGGCATTGGTGTTTGCCATCGCCGCTTGAAGATTCGAGGACATGACGGCAGTGTTCAGGCATTTGCTGTTCAACATCCTGCTGCCCGCCATTGCAGACGTGAAGAACGCATTCTCCAGCTGTTCCGTATCTTCAATGGCTTGCTCGCAAAACGCAAGGAGAGCCGCCGTCGCAATCTGTACTTCCATCTACCATTGATGGTGCCTCTGGCGCCTCACATTCGACTGGTCCGCGATGATTCTTCATACATCTCTATGCAGGGTATCTACGAGGATTACTGTCGTCGCATGGGCATGAACAAGGACGAGCCGGTTCTCTTTACCATGGATAAAATGAGGTCATTGGCAGAGACAAAACAAAATGTAAGTTCGCCACTCAGCCTCTCTGCAGCCGAGACTAACTACCAAACCCAGCGCACCCCCGACCAGCAGCAAATCCTTCGTACTGAGATCCTCACCGCAATTCAAGACAAATGGGTGCCGAGTACCGTGGTCTTGGAATACTTCCAACAGACATATCCGAACTTCTCCGATTTCTGGCTTTTCCGTCGACAATTCGCCTACCAGTACGCGGCAATTGCCTTCATGACCTACGTAATGCACATTGGCAACCGGTACCCGAACAAGATTCTGATCTCTCGTTCCACCGGCGATATCTGGGGTGCCGAATTGATCCCCACCATCAACCCAGCCAAGGCGTTCTTCTATAATCCGGAACAAGTCCCCTTCCGTTTCACACCCAACATCCAAACCCTGCTAGGACCGATCGCCACAGAGGGTGTGTTCGCTTGTGCAATGATGGCCATCGCACGCTGCCTGACAGAGCCACGCCACGAGCTGGAGCAGCAGCTTAGTGTCTTCGTGCGAGATGAGATGATGTTCTGGGCTACTGCACACCACCGTGGCTCCCTGCCCCCCAACCAGCTTCGCGACCTTGTTTACAACAACAGTGAGATCATCGTCAACCGAGCTGTCAGCCTGGCTAGCCCACCAGAGGGTAACTTGCCCGCCAACCAGACCACAATCGATTTGGTCTCCAAGGCCGTCAACCCTCAGCACCTGGCTTCGTGTGATGCTTTGTGGATGCCATACCTTTGAGCGGCGTGGAATTTTGTTCTTCTCCCATGGCCGATTGGCGATGGCATTCTGGATCTAGTGTTTTCTCAAGCGGTGGTTTCGTCTCTGGGTTTGCTTTCTAAGCGTGGCGCTCGAGGTGCGCTTTGCTTCATGTTACTATGATTGTGATACCGATTTCTTTCATGTCTTAATAGTTTTTACACTTTATGTTTAGCTTTGCAGCAGATTAGTTTTTAATCCTATTGCTTCTGTTCACCGCTCCCCAGGAGAGCGATGCCTCTTCAAGCGTAGATGTTTACAATAATTGTCCGGGTTTACAGTGCTGAGACAGTACGTTTGTAATCATGATATTGGCAACTAATGCCCTATCCGCAATTGTTGCTCTCGCAGTTCAAGAGTAGCGTCGACGAATACTCGGAAAATCTCGCAGGAAACACAATGGGTATCCATAAACACAAACTCCGCGCCAAATGTCCCAAACTCCATCCCATGCAAAGGGAAAAATGACCCCGTAGGGTAAAAGGGCGAATGAAAACCCCCAGGGAAGAGGGACGAAAAAAAAATGGAAATAGAACTGGAAAGAGAAATAAAAAGTGGTTGCGAGTTTTGACGAGGGAAATCGTCGGCTTACGCCTTGCGAGGCTTCTTCACCTGGCGATCGCCGTGAACATTTTTGGCCTTCTTGGGCTTAGGGTTCAACAGATCTTCTCCGAAATCGGACCAAGACTCCTCCTCGCCGATGATTTCGTCCTCCTCGGGGATGGAAGCCGGAAGGTTGATCTTGGGGTTGGGCTTATCATCAAGGAGATGGAGTCCCTGAGCTTCTTCCTGGGGAGTGTAGCGTCTGACGATATTGCCGTCTCCATCACGCTTGAGGCGATTACCCTTGCCGTCGTGGAAGGCATTGTAAGCCTTTTGCTTGATTTCAGCTTTGAAAGCATCCATCTCCTCCTGGGAGTCGAACTCGAGCTTGCCGCCGTAAGCGGTGTCCATGAAAACCTTTTCGTTCTTCTTGGGGACAACGACCTTCTTTTCGGTGGCCTCGTTGCGCTGGATGCGGGCATTGCGGGATCGAATCTCGTCGAGGGCGTCGGCGACCTCCATCTCGCGCTTGCTGTCCTTCATCTTGTCTTCCAGCTCAGCCATCTTGTCCCGGTCTTCATCGAGAGCTTCCTCGCCGAGATCAGCAGCAATGCGGTCAAGAGCCTCCTCCTCGGTCTCATCCTTGAACCGAGGATCGTTGGGATCACGCCAGACCTCGGAGTTGCGCTGGGCACCGCGCTCGCAGGTGTAATCGGCATCTAAAACAGTTAGCAAGAGATGTCTCGAGGAATGTGCCAGGGGATCGTGGTCACTTACTCTTGGGGTCGGTCTTGAAGGTAATCTCATGCTTGCAACCGGTACACTTGATGTAGAAACGATGAACCTTGACACCGATGTAGGCCTCGTCGAGGGTTTCTTTGCGGGCGTTAAACTTGCGGCCCTTGTAGATGTATTCCGCGCAGTTGAGGCACTTCATTGAGAAAGGTGCCATGAGCCGGACAGGCTCAGTCTTCAGTCCGGCGCCCGCATCCTTCTTCTTAGACCTGCCGGCAATGGCCGACGGGTCGAAGTCGGGGGGGTAGTACTTGGACGAGACTTTTCGTTCCGCCATGAGGTTCGGACTAGCGGGGTTGTAGGGATAGAAATGGGTGGGCTCCTGGATGTGAGCTGATGGATGGAGGTCTGCACTTTTACCAGGCTTTTTGGCCGAGCTATAGCCCGCCGCGTGAGCTGTTTTGCCCATTACATAACCAGGGCGGTGAAAGGAAAAATAATGAGCCAGTCGGAGCGGAGTTCGGAGAAAAGAAAGTCCGAGTTCCGGATTAAATACTCCATATCTTGGCTTGTGGTGCCTGAGGCAGGCGCATGTCGGCCTCCAGATACTACTACCCATTTGGTACGGATTAGGTCCTCAATTTCATAATTTCATATGTTCCCCTCATGTGTGTAGCTGTAGGAAATAACATTGACTCGACCAAAGCCTCTCATGCCATCATTATGACAGAAAAATGTGTGAATTGCTGCACAATTCACCTAACTTCTCACATACATTGACCGAGCGCACGGGCCATCTGCTTCAAAATAAACGGACCCGCTCACCCTTCACATGTTCTGACGTTCGATATTTGTCTTCCACGCGTTATCCATTATGGAGAGGTTTCTACGCTCCTGGAGGCAGGATGCATTGAACCGGGGTCAGCATGATTCTGCAATCTACATCGGTGACAAGGTGCTAGCACTGACTAGTAAGTCCTACCATATGCATCCAGATAAGGAATACTGACAGTGATAAAAGACAGTGACTCCGACGCGTTCTGGTTAGCGCAAGTACATTTCTCGAATAATAACTTCACACGCGCACTTGCACTCCTTTCTCGCAAAGATCTTGTCTCGCGGAGCACTGCCTGTCGTTACCTTGCTGCCCACTCGTACATCAAGCAGAACCAATTTGAACAGGCCCTTACAATTCTCGGAGAACATAACCCGTCTGATCTGATTCGCAATAATCATACACGGCGCAAGATTCAGCACCAAAGCCATGTAACCTTGCGCAATGGCAAGAACACGACCCCGCGAAGCGATCGAGCCGAGGAGCGCGAAAGGGAGGATGCCAATAATGTACGATTCGAAGCTGCGATGTGTTATCTGCGGGGACTATGCTTTGCCAAACAGAATGCCTTCGACCGGGCTAGGGATTGCTACAAGGATGCTGTGCGGATTGATGTGCAATGTTTCGAAGCATTCGATCAACTCATGAAGAATTCATTGATGTCCCCTGCTGAAGAGCTGGAGTTCCTGGAATCTCTGGACTTTGACTCTGTCTCCTCTCCCGATCCGATGATGGCGCAAGAAGCCGCTCATTTCACGAAGATGCTGTACACAACCCGGCTATCGAAATACTCCTCCCCGATCATCCTCTCTGACGCTACCGAAACCCTATCAACCCATTACAATCTGTCCGAAAACCCAGATATTCTTCTCTCTCGCGCCGAGGCGCTGTACACGCAATGTCGATTCGCGGAAGCGCTCGAGCTGACGTCCTCCATCCTCTCCACCTCACAATCTACCGACATGGCCACTACAAATTCTAGCGTACCAGCACAGACTCACTTGGGCCATGCCCCGGCAATATACCCGCTCCATCTGGCATGTCTATATGAGACTGGTGCGACCAACGCGCTGTTCCTTCTATCTCACATGCTCGCGGATCACTCACCGGAGGAACCTTACACCTATTTGGCCATCGGAGTTTACTATCTATCTGTGTCAAAAGTTGCGGAGGCGCGACGATTCTTTTCCAAAGCCTCTCTGCTAGACCCTCATTCTGCACCGGCATGGATCGGGTTTGCGCACACGTTCGCGGCTGAGGGTGAGCACGACCAAGCTATTGCCGCTTATAGTACCGCAGCTCGGCTTTTCCAGGGAAGCCACCTCCCCCAGCTTTTCCTGGGGATGCAGCATCTCGCGCTCAACAACATGTCCCTAGCACACGAATACCTATGCGCCGCCTACTCGATGTCTACCGGCGCTGCGCCAAACTCTGTACCAGCACTCCCGCCCACTCCATCTGCAACCGCTGCCGCTGTTGGTGGGGACCCGCTAGTGCTCAACGAGCTTGGTGTCGTCTTTTATCATCAAAACCAATTAGTCGGCGCTATCGAACTATTCCAGCAGGCTTTGGCCCTCGCTACTACTCTGCATTGTGAACCCAGTGCATGGGTCGCTACACGCGCAAACTTGGGCCATGCATTCCGTCGCATGGGGCGATTGTCCGAAGCCCTCCGCGAATTTGATGAATGTCTACGCGTGGGGGCCGGTGGAAGTAGCATGGGCTACTCACCATTCTTGGGCGGTGGCTCTGGTAGCTCTACCGCCATCGCAGCCTCTGGTGTTGGAGGATACGAAGATCGAGGGTTGATTGGCTCGCTTCACACATCCCGCGGTCTCATTCTTCTGGAAATGGGCCGTACTACTGACGCCGTGACGACCTTGCACGAGGCTGTGCGAGTCCTAGGAGCCAGTGGCGGCGGTGACGCTGCAGGCGGTGCGGGCGTGGCAGGAACGTTACTTTCACGAGCCCTTGAGCTCTGGGCCCTCGAAGGACGGCAGAATGACCGTGCCATGTTCGAAGCGAGCGTCCGAGAATCCAGCGTGTCCTCCGCCAAGCGTCGAGGCACGTCACGGAGTCATGAGTCTACAAGTAAAGGCAAAGAACGCCTCGCTATGGAGTCCCGCCGTCGGCGTCAGGAGCCTGTGGAGGAATGGACAGACGAGGTTCCCCATGTCTCTACCCCGCAGGCTGTGGAAGACAAGGTCGAAATGGACCTTGATACCGAAGCCGACGGAATGCTCCGACGAGCGCTTGGTCGTGTCCGACCCAAATCACGACGTGTCCCCGCGACACCAGAGATAGACACCGAGACACCGGCTCCCTCCAGTGGACGAAGTCGAAGCACCAGACATGGGCGAAGTCAATCCCGCCAATGATATTCCTAAAATAATAATGTATTTTTTGGCCAAGCTCTGGGTCTCTTGAAGATGTTACGAGGACATGCATTGCAGGGGCGTTGGGGGATCGGATGGAGTTCACATTACTATTAGGCACGCGATACGGAGTACGGAGATTACTACGCTACTCGTATGTAGCGTGGACAGTCGAACAGTCAGTGCTTAGTTCAAACAAGCCCCGTCTTGGCCCACATGAATCGTCTGCAGGTCAAATTGCACTTGGCGAATGACTTGCTTTTGGCCCCCGTATTCTGTTAAAATTGCCCAAAACCCTGCATGATTTTCGCTGAGACATGCAAATTTGACAAAATGGAGTACAGGATCTTGGCGAAAAAAAGCATATTGTTTCCCTGAGCTCTGGGAATACGGATTAGCTATGAGTATTCGGTGTAGAGTATAAGAGCGAGGAGATACGAGTAGTCGTTACCTGTCAGTAGGTAGTACAGAGTACTGCGTGACCAGGTACCAGGTACGGCACACAAAACTTGGACAGGGTCCAATATTAACTTTGGGGTTCTTGGCAGGGCGTGTCTCTTGTTTTGGGGACTGTTTGGTCTTGACTGTTTCGCCATCGACCTTTCAAAGAGACATTAAGATCAAATAACATACAGAAGAGCTCTGGTGTCATTGACTCTGTCCTCCAGCCCTACTGGTGTACAAACCACCAACTCGAGGATCAACGGAAAGATGACGCCTCCGACCCACATGCGCTGAGGCTGACCCAAATCCCGCCTTGCCCCAATTGGGGGCGATGCCCATCACTGCTCTCTTAGGGGCTGTTTCAACCTCTTGTCGTAGACCCCTTCAACTTTCGTCTCTTTTCTCCCCCCGACCCCAGCCCCTCCAGACAATGCCATGCCATTTTGGGTCCCCGCGATGACGGCCTACACAATAAGACCGAAACGCGGTCTCTCCCTCCTGGGCATCATTGCCGCCCTGAGCTTCAGCGTCATATTCGTCATTTGGTATGGCATGAACTCCGATCGCGACTACATACATCCGATCTTAACACAGCTGATCCCCGCCGGACACTGTGCCTGTGAATCATCCACCACATTCCAGTGCTCAACCTGCCTGACGTGCCCCGAACCCCCCGTGCAAGAAAACACCACCCCCGCCTGGTCGTTTGAATACGCCCGCGACGGTCGCAATGAGGCCCTGGATCAAAAACAATGTCAAAGTGCCTTCCCGGGACTATTTGAAGACATTGCGCGTGGTGGCAAATTCTGGTCTACGCACGGGGGCCTGTCAACAGCCGAGCTGGACACCATCAACATCCAACAGGGAATGGCTCGGGCGTTCATCTCACAAGGAGAGCTACATGTAGTGACAGCCCGCTCAAAAGGCGAGGACCACCGACGGAAAATCCTGGGAACGCTGAGCTCGATCCACCGTGCGCTGGCCGCCGACCCGGAACGAGCCTCCAGACGCGATGTCGAGTTCGTTTTCTCGGTAGAAGATAAGGTGGACGATGTGACCAATCCAGAATGGCCTGTGTGGGTGTTTTCACGCACCCCCACTGAACAAGGTGTCTGGCTCATGCCCGACTTCAGCTTCTGGGCCTGGGACAACCCCAACAACTACATGGGGCCGTACGACCAGGTGGTGGATCGCATCAAGCGTCTTGACATTCCGTGGTCAGATAAGAAACCCCAATTGGTTTGGCGAGGCAAGCCTAGCTTCGCGCCAAAATTGCGACGCGCGTTAATTGAGGCCGCTAGAGGCAAGTCGTGGGGCGATGTCAAGCAGGTTGATTGGAGTACTGGGTCGAATGTGCTCAAGATGGAGGATCATTGCCATTATATGTTTATTGCGCACGTCGAAGGTGAGCTTGACCCCATGATACCGGACACCGACATGAGCTGACCAACCTCAGGCCGCTCCTATTCAGCCTCGTTAAAATACCGACAGGCCTGCAACTCGGTCATCGTCGCGCATAAGCTTCAATTCATTCAACATCACCACTACCTACTCATTGCCGACGGACCGAACCAAAATTACGTGGAAGTGGAGCGTGATTTCAGCGATCTAGCAGACAAGATCGAGCCTCTGATCAGCGACACCGAGACCGCACGCCGGATCGCCAACAACAGTGTCACAACCTTCCGTGAGCGATACCTGACCCCGGCCGCCGAAGCGTGCTACTGGCGATCATTGCTTGATGGATATGCCGGTGTGTGGAACAGCACAGTCGAGCAATGGTCTGAAAAGACGCAACGCGAACGCGGTCTCCGATACGAGTCTTTTGTGCTCTTGGAGAGCCCGAAAATGTTTGAATTTGATGCCTCTGCTACAGAAAGGTGGCAAGCTTCCTGATGACGGATACTATCTAATAATGTGTTCCTGTGACACCCATGTATAACAACCTTTTGTTATACTAATGACCTGCCCTGTTATCACAGCACAGTTTCGGTGTTGTTATTAATCAACATACAAAGACTTAACGACATTTCTTCCATAGCTGACTTGGCATTTCCTTCTCTGATGTACCTGTACTCGTACTATTTCCAAGTACTACACTTCACCACTCTTCACCTGGGCGGGAGCCCGCCCTGGAGCCATAGTGCGCTTAGTAATGGAGCATGTGACTCGCGATTGGCCATTAGACGGTCTCTGTATGTATCTCTGTTGTCCGAGTAGGTCGGCAATACCGGGTAGGGTGGGGCGGGGGCTTGGAAGTGGCGAGGATTGGTTGGATATGTGACAGGATCCACCTGTAATAAATATAAAAAGCCTGGTTGGCCTAGTGGAAAAGGCGCTGCGGGGGTCGAAGCCAGCCCGGTTCTGAACCGTGTGCTGGCCTCCCCTCCGGAGACCCTGGTCGAATCCAGGATCGGGCACTCTTTTTTTGCATTTCTTTTTCCCCCTCCCTTCTCCCCTGATCAGAGCACCGGTTTTTTCTACCCCCTACTTACCCTGGAAAGTTAAGGCTAATCGAGGCCTTCAATTGCTACGAAGTTCTCCGTATGCGTCTTCGATCTGAGTTCTTATTGCATATTCCCATGTGCCCCATACCTAGAGCCAATCGCACTGTCGAAATCAAGAGACCGATCAGAGTTGGATCCTTTGACACTTTCTAATCGGGAAGTAGTAGTAATCCTCTTATTGGTTCTTTCAAATCTATGGGAGTCTGACAACTGCTCTCCCTGTGATACCATCCTCCTTTAACTTGGCTACCAAAGTCGGCACCGAGGCGAAGCCAAACACTTCAATCGATGGAGTGATTTTGCCAGACGCAGCTGCTTGCAGTAGGTCACTCATCTGATCTTCAGTGCCCACAGATGACCCAATGAAAGTAAGACCTGTATCAGTTAGCATATGGCTCAACAGGCCTTCTCTAGATGGTCTCACCTCTAGCAGTGCAGATTGTTGCAGAAAGTGGGATATTCAGATCATTCCGCGGCAACCCAACGTTCACCACGAATCCCATATTACGCACAACCTGGGGAGCCATTGCCAAAGCCTCTTCAGTCCCCGGAACGACGATCGTTGCATGTGCGCCCTCCCCGGTGATATCACGGACTCGAGCGATGACATCCTCAGTCTTATAATCGATGAAGAACTCCGCTCCCGATTCACGACTGACTGCCTCCTTATCCTTCCCACTATCAATGGCAATGACACGCAGGAGTTTCATCCTCGCCGCGATCTGAACACCAATATGACCCAAGCCACCACCAGACCCAGATATAACAACGAAATCCCCAGCATGAAGCTCATTATCAAGCTTAGCCAGAGCCCCGACCATGGTCAATCCAGCGCAAAGCAACGGCGCCGCAATCTCATCGCTCACCTCATCCGGAATCAAAGTCACGAATCTCGCGTCCGCAATAACATACTGCTGTAATGTCCCAGGAACGTGACGACTTGTGTTCAGCTGCTGAGCACAGTTATGCGGATAGCCACGCTTGCACACTGAGCATTTGTTGCAAGCGCTATAAAGCCATTTGACACCGACACGCTTTCCCAAGAGGGATCGCGAGGCTTCAGTTCCTGCTTCCACAACTACGCCGACTCCCTCGTGGCCGATGATGGAGTTGTAAGCTCCCCAGGCTAGGGCAGCGCGCAGTTCGGAGCGACTTTTGGGGTTGGTTAGTTTAGCTTGGTGTGGGTGGACTTGAGGTCGAGTATTTACCATAAGCCAGTGCAGCTTAGTTTGACCAGGATTTCATTTTCCCCTGGGGCTGCGACTGGTATATCACTTCGAAGTGAGATACTGTATCCTTCACCTGGGTTGGAGACCACGGCGGCTTGTTGTAGAGTTGGTGTGGGGCCTGTCATCGCAAAAAAGACTTCCCGATCGGCGATTTGTTGGTATATAGGTGGTCTCAATTAGCGTAGGTTGAGCTACTGGAATTGTTTCTTATGGTAATAAGATCAAAAGATCAAACCATACATCTAAAACGTCTGGTGGTGATTGAGATACATTGCCGAGGTACTAAGATTGTCGGACGGCGAATCGGCAAGTGAAGACGAGGCGACCGCCTCACCTTCAGATGTCGACCATTTGAGCCTTGATTCTCTCCAAATGCCAGGCCTACATAAAAAAAAAAGATTGGATCAATCCTTAGCTAGATGGCGTTTACCTGGTGCTCCTGGTCATTGACGCTCTCCCTCAGACATCGCATCGCCTAAGTACGCATGGATGATGCGAATGTTGAGCTGAGCATTAGGTGTTGATATGGATTTTCTTTTGGTATGGATCAGTAGCACTTGAAAGCTTCCAGGGGTTGCTCGACTGTCAATTGGCGGGGTTTTCAACTACCTAGTGTGCGTGAAATAAAACACTAAGTTTGTGGGACGATAATGTTACTGAATCTCTTCAAATGTTGTCACGGCTGGGAAATACGACATTCAATATGTGATTGATGCCCAGCTAGCGAGTATTGAAGATGAAAAGATTCATTTCCTAGAGCTCTACAGGGACCTTCGAGCATATCAAGGAACTTCTAAAGTTTCTGTTTCCAATTTCCAATCGGGGCTCGGCGCGGATCCAACTTTGCTGTCCTGTCGTTTGTCATACCTCGTCATCCATAAATTCCTAGGCATTCCTCCCTCTGATTCGTTTTATTTCTTGCCTTCAAACTATTCCAAACTATTCCCGGAACTTTGACAATGAACAAACCCAGAGTACCTACAACCCCACTTGCAACCAACAATGTCTACGAATGGTTCAAAGAGTCCAAGTCAAAATTGGTGCCTGTTCCCAACTATGCAGAGCCTATGGGCAAAAGGAAGGTCCGTTAACTTGCACTCAAATGTGATTTGAAGTCTGGTTGGCTTTACTACCAAGTGGACACTTTTGCGGACGTTATAACATGTGAATATATGATTCGAGAAATCGTCCAACGCGAGCAGTGCCTCAAAAATGAACTTCAAACATTTCGAAAAATCGGGGCAGGTTCTTCTCACGACAAAGAAGAAGAATACACCCAGGAGCTCGCAAAGTTGCCGCGTCTATACAGTGAGGCCGAGTACAAGCTCTATCAAGCCGAGACAAAGATCCCCGGTGGCTGCATGAGATCAGGTTATGACGATCTTCGACAAGACACAACTTGGTATCTTAGAATAGAGCTTGTTGAAGACTGCAAGAAAAGGGGCGGTTGCTGTAGCCGCAGCTGTGGGTGTTGCGAAAATCGCCACGAACGAGCCGTGAGAAGCAGGGGACTGGGGCATTGTACGACTAGTTGCGCCTGCTGCGTTAGCGAACGGGGTTTCGAATATACTGCCCAAGAGAGGCAAAGATTTATCGACGATCTTAAAAATCGGCTTTACGACGATAGTCCCGCTTTTGTGATCCAGATGGTAGACGCTTTTTTCTTCCCGTCATCCGAAAAGCCTCGTGACAAGAAACACAGGCTTTCAAATCGGGAACAGAAGTCTCCAGGAAACATGTGGAAAACACTGAAGAGCAAAACTGAGCTTTTTGGGGCTGGACTATAAGGTCGGATCTGGATGCTTCGAGTCACAGGATATTTTTTGGCCTTTGCCTACTCCGTCCACATTATCTACCTTGCCTTTTCCCCTCTCTTTTGCATTGATTTTGCTCGCTGTCCCTTCATCTTCAACTCCTTGTCAGAAGCAGATTTGCATCATTTACTTATGAGTAGCTTTTGCTGTGTGACATGTAGCTTTTACCAGCAATGCCTCAGAGCACGCGACAGCTTCAGAGGCAATCAAATACAAACTAAATTGGGTAGTTACATACGAGTGCTCTTTCCCCGGAAGAACACTCTCGTTTCCAATGTTCAATGTACACTGTATGTTTCAAAATTGTAATTTACCTCTCAACCATTGTGGCATTTCATCGATCCTCCCGTGCACTTTCAAAATCCGTGCAGGGAAAACTCATAGTTCTGGAGCTTTGTTCGAGTCTAGGCCTTGGTACAAATATCAACATGTTAAAAACCCAGAGCACCGAAAGATCAACCTTTTGCCAATGGTAATAGAAACATACGACATTCTGGATTAGTTCTTTGCCGGATTGAAGAGTGCTGATCTTGTACTTTGGAAGGTCTGATGGTGTTTGGGAGATGGGATGGTTTTTAGTCAAAACCCCCAGTGTTTGTTTGCCTTTTGGAGCTTGCCTTCTGCAACCCCTCTCTCTCCCCAGGATCGATCGCTTTGTGTGTTTTTCTTCGGCCATGTAGCCTCAATACATGGGCGCAAAACTGCGCAATGTGGAAAGGGCGAATACTTCCCCACGACGAGAATTGCACGCTTTCAAGCACAAGAATTTCCCGAGGTCGCCCCGGTACCTTTGGGCGAAAACAACATGCAACAATATTGCTCAGCTCGAAACCGATAAGCAGAAAGAAATAACGAGCGGATAAGTCCAGAATATCGCAATCATTGCGTCGCCGTCACTTGCGGTGTTTCTCATCGTTGGCCTGATCATCTGGAGGAAATGGCTTGCCAGGTAAGAATATACTCATCCCGAGGTCGTGTTTGAAATGAAAAAAGCTGTCATGCTAATTCATATTGCTTTGGAACCATCTAACAAATCACCAGGCACAACAGAATCGGAGAACTCCATCACATCGACGACGTCGCCTGTCACAATACGGTTTTTCAGATCAACATTAGAGCATGTCACCCGAAGGATTTCGACCAGAATGGGCGATCCAACAGGGTCATCTACTCGCCCGTTGACATCTTACTTTCGCTTTTATTTCTAGACAGCTCTCTTCCTTGGGCCAATTTCTCAACAAAATTCTGTGAGCTGTATATTATAAAACGATTGCCAAGACAGCAACGCAATCACCAGTCCCCCCACCCAAGAAGGGACAAATCACCACCAAGTCAAATGCTTTGCATTCGATTGTCTACGATGGCCCATGTCTCTGTGGGGAGATTTCGCTCAACGCGTGGAAGACGATGACAAGGCCCGAGTCTGGCTGAAACCGAGCATCAGGCTAAAAGAACAGAATGATGCGGTTTGCAAGGAACGATTCCTTGTGGACGATGAATCAGGGGTGCAAAGCCGTTTCACGCAGCACTATGGAGAAAAGCTTTGTCGAATTTTCGAGGCACAGGACATTGATCTAGTCTTTTCCGATATCAGATGTGCAGGAGTGTCCTATGCGAACATACCAGACATTGTCATCATGGATTCCTCCCGGAGACTGAAAGTCGTTGGGGAAATCAAGGTCCCCTAGGTCCTCCATCAACAGCCTTCCTTACGATTTGAGCGCCTGCATGTGCTGCGACAACACTTGGCACAGCCCATACAGTATATGCAGGATTTAAAGAAGACCAGCGGCTCTCAGGTCATATGTGCCGAAGATGAGAAACTGGAGATTTCTGGATCATGTACGCCGTTTTGCACAGCTTCACCTTTGATATGATCTCCTGGCAGAAGGTTGACGCACGGGTTTTTCAGGCCGACTGAAGATCCTGGGAGGGCATGGAGGGAGGGACTTGACCTTCTAGGCACAAAATAAAAGAACGAGATGGAAAGCCGAGTTCTGGCGTGAGACCCGGATGAGTATACTAAGGAATTCCACCAACGGTCAAAAGAAAGAAGCAAAAGGGCCAATGAGAGTGATGCGACAGCCTCAATGTTATCCAACAGCAACGAACCTGACTATCACCTGCCGGAAGTTATTACTCTCGTTTCCAATATTGAAATTTGCCCAGGCGTGGATTCCGAAGCAATGTCCTTTTCAACCATTTTCGGATTTCATTGACCCTGTTACGTGCTCTGGTATGCCCGGTTAAAAGAATAAACCCCCAGCAAATGATGTTGCATATTGCGGTACTTCCTCTTTTCTGAGCCTAAGCTGCACTTGACAGTACAACTTTAGAAATGATCAACTTTCAAAGTTGGGTAGATATCCGTTGTAGTACAAAGGGTCCACTTATTCGATTTCGCCAATCAGGAAAAGAGGAAGATGCAGCCGGGGGCCTCGGTTGCCTGAAGTCTACAGCACCCCTTACTACCGAAAGTCCCATATACTTATGTGTTACGTCTATTACGCGGAGCTGCGAGTCGCGCATCTCTGAAAACTCGACTCGAAACTTTAGGTGAAGCGTCGTGACGTCGGCATGTGACGCCCGGGGCCCGAGGTTGATTACTTAAACACTTAAACGGTCCACGGGTATCGTATATCTTCCAAGAGCTGTTTCTCTGGGACAATATCTTGCTTCAAACTCCAAAATGGCATCTCTTTTCACCGTCCCAATCACATCAACCGGGGGTTCGATCATCTGCACGAACCCTAGCGCAGCGGAAGAGCACAAGAACATCTACGTGCTTACATTTACATCGCCGAAAGACAACCGGCTGACCCCTGTCTTTATCGACGCGTTACTACTGGCACTGGATATTATCGAGTATCGCTACCCCAAAGGTGTTGTTGTCACTACAAGTGGTATCGCCAAGTTCTACAGTAATGGACTCGATCTCGAACTCGCTGGAAGTACCGAAGGCTTCCTCGAAAACTGGCTCTGGAAACTCTTCCGACGGTTTTTGACGTACGTATCATCCAGTATCGAGAACCAGTTTGGTTCTTTTACGTGCTATTTCGAAGGATATTAACTGGTCATTTAGATACCCCATGCCAACAGTATGCCTTTTGAATGGGCACGCTTTTGCAGGAGGCTTTATGCTAGCCATGTACCACGACTACCGAATCATGAACCCGGACCGTGGCTTCGTATGTGTCAACGAGCTGGAGTTTGGAGTCCCGCTTCAAACGCCAATGATGGCCATCTTCCGTGAGAAGTTGACCCCAATCACTTTCCGGAACGTTGTTTTGGAGGCCCATCGCTTTGGTGGACGCAATGCCCTCCAGGCTGGAATTGTCGATGCCGTGGGCGGGATCGAGGAGACTCTTGCTCTGATCCAAGAACGTAAGCTTCAGACCAAGGCCGCGACAGGGATCTATGGGACCATGAAGGAAGAGATGTATGCTCGGACTTTGAATGGATTAGACGATCACTCTGGCAATTTGAAGTGGCGCGAAAATGTTGAAGACAAGAACGAGTCTATATCTAAGAAAGGCTTGGAAGGCGTCAAGGCATTCGAGGGGGGAAAGGCGAAGCTCTAATATCTAGCGCAGGTAATTGCTGATGAGGCATTTTGTTCATAATGGAAATTCGTACATATGGCTGCATATAAAGTCGTGATTCTTCGAAAGTCGGTGCTATTTTCAAATTATGAGATGCCTCAAATAGTTCTGATGAAGCGAGAGATGAGATGAGATCTTTTATCGGATAAACCAATAGCTTTGTTCACTCCAGCACACTGGCCAGGGTTCACAAAATGACACTGATCCCCGGTCATTACTTAAGTATGTCTGCGCTTTCAAAAAGAAAGCTTGGAGTTTACACCCGAAACTTCAGCATAATAGCTCATCTTTACTGTAAGACTTGCGAATTGGATGGTATTCAAAGGTATAGCAGTAAACCCCGATTGATAAACTGGTCCAAGTAGGTAATGCAGAGCGGCGAATCCTCACTAGCGACATTTGAGCCTTCGTCAAGCTGTTCAAGATCACAATTTGCTCACTTTTAAGCTCATAAGTGAATTCACATTGAAGCTCAAGCCCCTGAGTCCCCTGTAAAGAATTTTGGGCCATAAGTAATATCCAATGCGGGGAGTTGATTGGGCTCTTCACAAAATATATCGACAAACGTCAATCGTCAAAACCTCCTGCTCAAAACATATAGTATTTTAACTCTAGGCTGAAACTTATACTACTCAGCTTAAGCAGATTCAGCTCATGACAATGTGGATAGAGGGCCTCCTATGGTTATTGAAAGGTATCTGCCGTCCGTCGAGGGAAATTCCACCCTCGTACTAAGTTGATACAGAGATTGCGTATTCGATAGTTCTCATTCGGAGTTCAATGACTTCCCTTCTTGGAAACCTCCAGCTAGGCTTCACTTCGCATGAGGGGACTTACAACTTTCCTTCCAACCTACCCTGCCACCCCAAACACATAGCTCTTTTGAGTTCCGCTCCATCTTTTTTGATATCTCCTTCTCTCATCACCTCATCTACCACAACAATGTATCGACCTCCTCGTCGAATTTACTCCTTCCAGGAGCTTTTCGAGGCCCAACTTGTCGGCGGTGCCAATGTCACCGAAGCCTGGCAGAAGGCAACTGTGCTGTTCAGGATGCAGATGAAAGACTCTGGTGCCACTGCTCCCTTGATCAACCCGTCGGTCGAGATCCCGGAGGCACAACGCCTAGGTCACATCTATCCAACCTTGCCAGATACTGTCACTGGCGTATGGCCCCAACTGATGTTCTCATCGGTACCCTTGCTAACCCGAGATCACAGATCCACCATACCGCCACCCCACCTGTCAACGCAGCTGGTATCAACCATATCCTCTCCAAGACGAAGCCCGATGACCCCGTGGCCCAGGAAATGATGAAGCGTAACACCGCTCTTCTCGTTGAATCCGGTGTCGTCCAAAAGCTGGGCCAAGGCTCCTCGTCAGTGTCCGAGGGCTCCGATACGCCCATGAGTGATGGCACGTCTTCCCCTGTGGAAATCAAAGAGCACTTCAAATTCCCCGAATTCAAGCATCCAAGCACATTCGCAAAGAAACAGCCCTTTGGGCAGCACCGGGGTTTTGACACTACCGAACAGCACGAGACCCCTGCATCCATAATCCCTGAGGACATCGATGATGAGGAGTACATACTAGACTACAACCCTGGTCAGGATGCTCACGAGCGCTACTGGTCTGCCATCGGCGGGTCCCCAGATGATGTCCGTCTGTAGCCTGGAAATCCACCACTACCTTAAGCAATGGCGGTACTCGGGGATGAGGGCTTCGTTGCTGGAACGAGATTCAGAAGTCTTCCCTGTCAGCAATGAGATCCTCCTAGCTAGGACAGAACTTGCCTTGAATCGCCATTAAAGCAATTTTCAATTGAAACTTTTCCAATTTTACAGTCTGCCAGTCGCATATAAAGAGCGACATTAGTAGGATGACATTTTACAAATGCCTGTGTCAATAACTATACCGACCAAAGGGGCTTGGCTTGTCTTGGTACATATTGGACGCATAGTAAGAATCCCCACACTGCACCACAACCTTGGACGATAATTTGTTGGGGAAACAATATGCGAATCTTAATCAGGGGCCGCTAAAGGCTCAGCCTCAATCATCGACGAATACGAGGGTGGATCTACAGGTTTTGAACCTCATATGTGAGTCACCCCTACAGCAGAATAACTCGATATGGTGTATTATAAGTATGATATGGTTCCCAACATTCTAATCCTGCTATTGTCAATCTTCTTCGTCTCTTTTCATTATTTGAGACCCTCACATCAGAATACACCAACTTTGAAAACCGACCTTAGAATGTCCTCTACCAAATGTCGGGCCATCAGAGCCAAACAAACTCCAGGCACAATCACAGTCTACCAAGCCTACTCCCCCGAGATAGCAGATCCCGCAATCAAAGCACAGGCTTTCGTTCCTCCGTTCTCCCGTACGAGAATGACCTGGATTAAACCATCATTCTTATGGATGGCGTATCGATCAGGATGGGCCACCAAAGCTCGTCAAGAGCGTGTCCTTGCCATAGAGATTACACATGAAGGATTTGAATGGGCTTTGCGACACTCCTGTCTGAGCCACCATATGCCCGGAGAAGATTCAGACCAAAAGAAGTGGCAGAAAAAGCTGCGTTCCAGCCCAGTGCGCATACAATGGGACCCCGAGAGAGATCTATCTTTGCGGCCGTTGAACTATCGGAGTATACAAATTGGATTGAGTGGAGAGGCCGTGGAAAGATACATTGATCAATGAATGGTTTCGATTACCGATGTAACTGAGACTATGCACGAGATTGATGGACACCTTAAGAATGGGCGTTTTGATGCCGCTCAAGGCTGTCTTCCCAAGGAAGAGATATATGAACTACCCGGCGACTTGCAACAAGCATTGAAAATGTGTTGATAGGTGGAATTCTTCATGGGGTTCTTAGACTAGCCGAGAACGGTTGATTCTTTACGAACCAGACACCAGAATTTTTTTAATCAATCCAACTTTGCTTTAGGTATGAGTGATCGATCCTGTTTCAAGCCTCTTACTAGCACACCAACCCCGAAAACTATTCGATTTAAGCCAGACCTATGTATCATTGTATGCGCAATCATTCTAATACAAACTGCAAGCTCCTGCATCCTGATATCTTTGAGTTTAGTAGATTGTCTCCTTTTTTTTCCCACAGCAGGCAGTTTTGTGATGGTCGAAGTTCAACGGCAGGACGAGCGGCGAATAGGCGAGCGAGCCTATGGTTGCGGCTCCGCGCTCCCGTAATCCGGTGGCACATGGTTTTTCCAGGTGGTTTTCAAGGTTTCGAGGTTCCAAGGTACCAAGATTCTAATGCTGATGTCACAACTAAGCAGCCTAGAAAATATGCTCGAATCGGACCACGAGAACCTTGAAGCCTGGCGTTATTCGATCAAGCAGAACTAGTCGTGTTAGGATCATAGGATCATGGAAGGGAGTAATCAGCATAACCCAATTACTATAGACAGAAACAAAGAGAGCAAGAGAGAGTCCTGAAGAGGTCCACTACGCCTGTGTACCGCTGTTTCGAGACCCAGGAGAATCCGTGCAAAGAACTTCATACTCGTAGTGAGACTGCGCAATATTCAAACTCCAATCGATTGGTGGTCAAGTATGATATGGGGCTTACGAGTACATACTATGTACCCCAATCGCAAGATCTCCACTTTCCTTCACACCATTCCAATTTACGGTTATAGTATTCCGTACAAGGGCATAGTACGAGTAGGACCTGCAAAAAGCCAGGTTGGCTAATGCCTCCGGGGTCCCCCTTATTGCCTTCTTTCAGCTCCATAAGAATTGCTCACTGACTTGGTTACCAAAAATTTCCTAAGTCATGATGCAAGACCTGCGGCTACGTAGTCTATATACTCGTAGTCGTACTTGACGGGAAGGTGTTGGCACCACAATGTGGAAATTTCTAGAAGTGATCTGCAATTCACGTGGCCATGGATCAAAAGGGCTTCATGGCATATGTAGTAGAAAGTCTGAGTGGCCATGATGCTTTCTGTCTTTTATACGAGGGTACTCTATCATAAAGGCTGAAGGATTCAGACTTTACAAGCCCCAAGTTTCGGAGTGAGAAAAATTTGGCTTGCCCCTTCGGTGTATGATCTCATAGGAATGCCTGTGGAGAAGGTCACGAGGAATCTGATATCTAATCCAGCCAAACAACCATCGACTTGAGCATGTACTGTACAAATTGTACACTAAAAAAATGCTTGAATTCACGCATTGTGTGCCATGGTTGATTTAGATCGAGAGCCCAAGCTACATATGTACTTGTACGGGAGTGTCCATGGGTGGATAGGGGGTCTAGAAGTCTATCTTTATCTGTACCTGGAGGCCCTCTGATGCCTCTGATTGGACGGATGTTTCAACCGTCCACTTGTCTTCAACATCCGTTATGGGTCTCGCTCTCGCGCTCGACTTTTCGCTGCATCTTGGTACAAATGTTCAGAGTTGTGCGGAACGATTTTTTCAAAACTTGGACTGAAAAGGTACTTGGTACAACTAGACCATGATTTAATAGGGTTTGCCGGGAGATTCTCAGCCAACAACCATAGATCGGCTTTTGTATTTGCATGCTACAATTCTTTTAAGAGACAGTTAGTGGGCCGTCAGGAATCTCTTAGAATTTTGCTTGGCGCGGAAGTCATGGCCTGCCAATCAGAGATGCCGAACTTCCCCAAAACAGTAAATTATACCCTCAAATAACCCCGTACGAGTAGGCGCCTCATACCCCGAAGGGGGGAGGGGGTTTCTAGTCCTTTCTACGAGTTGGTTGGTGCTCTTACTTTTACTCTTACCCCCTGCTGACTTTGAAGGCTATATCTCAAGCACAGACTATGAAAAACGGATTGCTGAATCGCAATGAGTGGAAGACCCTCTCTTAATCACTCCCTGCAACCCGAGCCTCATCCATCTGCCCGAAATGATTTCGCCTTTTTCGCCGCAAGCGAAGACACAGACACTTCGCCGTCTACTCCGTCGGAATTGGTAAATTTCGATACGCACAGAGATGACACACGAGACCCCCGCAACAAAGCACGAATTACAGATCAATCTGCGAATGCCAAAGTCGCCATTCCCCGGCTCGACCTCCCAGTTGCAAGCTCTAACGGCCGAGTCAGTCGAGCATGTCACAACTGTCGCAAACAGAAAAATAAGTGCTCCGGTGAGCGACCGTCTTGTCAGCGGTGTCAGGAGGCCAACGTTCCCTGTGTCTACGTCGACGGGAAGAGAGAGAGAAATGCCAAGTGTGTTGAACATTTTTCCTTGGGGATGAAAATGCGGCACAGGATATTTACTAGAGAATTAGGCACCTCACTGCTGTGACAAGTCAACTCGAACAATATGAATCCCTCGTGCGCGATATTTATCCCAAGGTGGACCATGAGGTTGCTCGGTTCGTCGACCAAGCCCTTGGAAAGGTGAGTGAGAAGAATCAATTTCAAAAACCTCGGGGTTTGCATTCGGCTTCTTCTAAGCCAACAGCTCTAACAAATACTAGATCTCAGGTCTTTCTCTGTCATCACCGACCGCCGCCAATGCCCCAGATGACAACGCCTCAGACGATGCAACTACACCAGTTTCCGTTCCTTGTATGGAACACACACTCGAAGACTTCAATGGGGACATCTCATTGCAAGCAACTGGGTTTCTGGGGGAACACTCGGCAAGGGCGTGGCTTTACAGACTCAAGCGCCTCATAGCGTCGAAGAGCCCCAAAGCCGATGATCAGCCGGATGGACCAGCGCATCTTTCCCTTGCTTCCTGTGGTTTTTTCCTCGACGACTCCTCTATCTCATTGGGGAATGGCCTGGACGTTCTCGCATATCCCACACAAGCCGTTGCCGATCAACTCGTCGACAGATATTTCAAAGTCGCGCATGCGACTTTTCCGCTGATTGGCAAAGAAATTTTTCTAAGCCAGTGTCGATCTTTCTACTCCAAGTCAGCGACATTGCAGCCTGGAATCAAGTGGATGGCACTATTGAATATTGTCTTTGCGATCGCTGCGAAACACTCCGAAGTTACAGGGGACAAGGAACGACTTGATCACAATAACGATATTGTCTATTTCTCTCGTGCTTGGAAGCTGAGCATGAACGACAACGCACTACTGGAGCACCCAAATCTGCAGCAGACTCAAATAGAAGGACTGTTCTCACTTTATTTCCTTTCCACTGGACAGGTGAACAGGTGGGTAGCATAACCTTGGAATGTTAAATCGACGCTGACTTTGTTTTAGGGCCTGGCGAATGTGTGGTGTCGCGATTCAATCAGCCACGACAATGGGAATACACCTTCGCAGTGACAGCTCCAGCATTACACATGTTTCCAAAGAGACCAGGTACCGACTGTGGTGGGCATTGTATTCACTGGATACCCTGGTCTGTGTGATGACAGGGCGCATGCCTAGAATGCAACGGGAGCATTGCACAACCCCTCTACCCGTACCCTACCCAGAGGAGAGCTTTTGGGATGAGCAAGTTATGGCGACCATTCAAGACAGGCAAGCTCGAGCAAGTCTTGTGGGATCTTTTCTCTCCTATCCCTCCGCCGCCGCAAGTCAGCCTGATTTAGGTCTAGGGCATCCCGTTTCTCCTCATCAGCGATTGTCACCTGGTCAACGGCTGCGCCTCAATCTTTCTCCATGCTTGCTCTTCTCGATCGACCTGGCAACTGTGATGAGAGCGGCAATCGATATGCTGTACACCCCCGAAGCGGCGAAAAGATCAGGGACGGAGATCGAGCAGGCAATGATTTCTCTCAACAATACAGCCGACAATTGGTATTCCCGACTCCCTACAGCATACCATTTCACGGACACTACTTCCGACCTTGCCATCGCCCGCCAACGCACAAGTCTGGCCTTCCAGTATTACTCAACCAAACTTGTCATTTCTCAACCTGCTCTCCGATTCCATACACTAGATGAAATCTCTCCCCATTCTGTTCATGGTCGAGTGGGGGCCATCTGCTTCGGCGTAGCAGCCCAGATGGTGGATATCTTGCCAAATGATCCTAACGTCACATGGCTTTTGAGCTGCTCACCCTGGTGGTGTGCCCTCCATTATCTCACCCAAAGCACTGTTGTGCTTATCACCCAGTTGCTCATGTGGAATGCCGCGTGGAGCAAGCTTAGCACGAATCCATTGGATCGCATCGAGAAAGTTCTCCGATGGCTGAGTGAGTTGTCTACGAGGGATGCCGCGTTCGAACGTGCTTGGCTTATCTTCACGGAACTTTTGTCATCCCAAGGATTCAATGTTGGCTTAAGATAAGACCTCTCAGCTGTGATCACCGGTTTTCCTCTTTCTCCTTTTCTCTGCCCTCCTCACCTCTTCATGTAGAATGCATTTTGCTAATCTTCTGGTTCACTGCTGAGCTTTTGCTTGTCTTTGGAATCATACTCCTAAGGTAGCCCAACTGCACACGGCGCCCGCTGTTGGGCTTAACCAAGTGTGCGTATAGAAAACATTCCCTCTGTTTTGTTCCCCCCGGACCGCTAGGCTTATTCACACAGCGATCGGGGGGATGCTAACACAAACCACGAGGTTGTATATATACAGTTGCTAATTACTAGTCCCCAACTGTGGACTGCACAAGTATCCCTGGAAAAACTTCCAAGGTTGCTGGATCTGACAGCACTTTTTTTTGGCTTGGATGCACTACGAAGTAGAAAAGTCCTTGTTAGGGCTGGTCTTTCGGGTATGTCGGGTATCAGTGGCCAGGAATCCACAACCACAATGCTCTCATTGGTTGGAACTCCCATCCTGCCCAACGCCCCTTTGACCTCTGCTGAAATCTTCTGCCCCGTATCAATACCGTACTAAAAAGATTGTAACTATAGGCCTACTTGGAATATTTTCCATGTGTGTTCGATGTTCTTCTATTTAAAATAATTAAGATATCCAGTGAAAAAAAAAAAAAGCCATTCAGTCTTGAGTACGGAATAGAGAAAACAAACAATCTACTTCCAGTCTGCCAAGAACGTACATACGAAGATACTCGTACACGTGAGAGAGTTCAGTTTCCCAAGGCGAGAGATTTGCCACCTGAAGAGTCCAGATTTGGACTACGAGTAAGATTCCCTGGATTTGGGATTGAGCCCGGGAGGAAGGGCCGCTGTTTCAGGGCAGCATCCCGGTGTATACTCGCTTTGGTTAAGCCGGTGGAGCAAGTTCACGCACCTTTACAAACAGAACGTGCCCTACATCCATGTGACCTTGGTGCTTGTAGATACTTCAGCACCAACAGGTTCTCACTTGCTATCGCCTACCTGGATCTATAAACCTGTGTCTCATTCTGCATTTGCCGTTTCCCTGACCCATTTGCAACTACCCGGGCGATATGGCGCATTTTGTCAAAAGTACAGTATTGGGTGGAAATTTCGAAACGCCCGAAAGGTATGTGGACTTCAACTCAACTCTACCCTTTCATCTATATCAATCATGGTCCTAAAACGTATACTACAGATATACCGATCCAAAGACCCTGAAAATTGGAGTTTCTGGTCTTGTTTGGTATGTCATCGCCATTCATGAAAGTGCAAATTTCGATGTGTTGTGTAATCTGACGACTCTCTTCACGGTCAGCTCTTCTTGGGATCAGGTCAATCAGCAATATGTCGCGGTCAAAAAAATTCTGAATCCATTTGCGACTCCAGCTACTGCAAAATCCATCTTTCGAGAGATCAAATTACTGAAACGCCTCAGGCATGACAATGAATGTTGCTCAATGGCAGGTCCTCTATGGATAAAACTAACCATGAAGCAGATTATTTCTCCCGTCGACATTTTCATTTCCCCTGCAGAAGACATGTATGCAGGTCCCAACCAATGATGCACCTCGTTGAACATGCTGATCATATCCAGATATTTGGTCACAGACCTCATGCAAACAGACTTACGAACACTCATTGAGTCTAAATCTATTGGGGATGAGTTTGTTCCGTTTTTGCTGTACCAAATGCTTGTATGGCCATCTTTCTTGAACCAAGCCTGAACCCACTGACCTATTCATCCAGAGGGGACTGAAGTATCTTCATTCAGCTTCTATTCCACATGGAGATCTCCGACCCGAAAGCATCTTGATAAACCAAAATTGTGATCTCAAGATCTGTGACTTGGGTCTCCCAGGGGTTCAGGAGACACATGCAATGAGCTACATTGCGACCAGATGCTACCGAGCCCCAGAACTTCTACTAACTTGTCAGAGTTATGACGAGAAGGTCGATATTTGGAGTGCAGGGTGTATATTTGCCGAAATGTTACAAGGAAGACCTCTTTTCACGGGACGAAATCACGTTGAGCAGTTCTGTGCCATGACCGAGCTACTCGGTACTCCTAGTGACGATTTTCTGGCTAAGATCACGTCGCAGTCTGTCAGTTGACTTATACACCTAACACCATAAGGCTGTCAAGGTATGCCTGGATTCGTTGAACCCTCACTGACTCGCGTTATTCCATCAGACGCTGCATTTCATACAATCTCTCCCATATTACGAAGGCACTGGACTCTCAAACATGAACTCAAATTTCGTTTCAACCGGTAAGCATTTATGCTTTTCTTTTATTCGTTTTTCAAAGCTCTTTCTAACAAGCTAAAGCTCTCAATTTACTTGAGAGAATGCTGGTATTTGACCGCAATGAGCGAATCAGCGCCTCAGATGCACTCGCCGCTCTCTATCTTGCTGCCTATCATGACCCCACAGATGAGCCTATCGCCGATCATATATATGATTGGTCAATTCATGAAAGATGGAGCTCAAATAATACATTGAAGATGGAATTGTATTTCCCCCACATTCACTATATTGAACATGAAGCTAATCACCTAGCAGATATGACGAGATAATTGATTATCACAAACAATCTGAGATTCGACAATTCGTAAAGAATTGGGCACAAAGTACCTCGGGGGCACAATGTTGAGCAATGGAGTTCGGGCTCTTCCAAGTTCGAATGCACTTCTTCAAAACGGGAGTATTTCGCATCCATAGATTGACATGGGGCGAGTTTCGAACCTTGCAACATACTCGTATACCGAGATTGATTATGCAATTATCCCTAGTTATATGCTTTGAATACGATCTTCACACGATGACACGAGTACAAGGGACGATCTTGGGAGGCACAGCCCTGGAGCGGAAAGACAAAAGTAGGTAGTAAACCAAAATAACGTACCAATTGCCAAGTTTCAAGACTTGAATGAGAATGCGTGTTCATTGCTCCGTATAGTCCGTCTTCTGGAAGTGAACCCCCCAATCAGGATACTTTTTGCCAACGCCAAGTTCCAATCTATGACATCACCCGGCTCAGGGTTGATGTATATAAACACGCGTTATCCAAACTCCCAGGGTGATATCAAAGATAGCCAGCTCACTTCGTGAACTTACCTCCAACGATATGACTACAGAATACATTGTATACCTCCCCACCACCCGGGCACTCCTTCTCAAGTTGTGACTCTCTACATCTAAACACGACCACTAACACCCACAGGTTACCTTCGATGAGTCGGCCACAACCGAACATATGAATGCCTACATGCACAAGATTCAAGAGAATGGCGGGTGTGTCACAAATCGATTCCCAGACATGATTGCTAGAGGCTTTTCGTACGTCCCCAGTCCACCTATTCTGTTGAGAAACCTTACTAACCCTACTTTCCAGTGCCCGTATCACAGAATCTGACATCAAAGACCTTCAGCAAGATCCACTCATTGAGCGCTTGGCACCTGACGATTGTCCCAATCCGCAGGCCTCGCAATCCTTCTTTGGAATAGCTGCATAGTCTATCTGGTCATTTAATTTCACGTTCCTTGTACTTTTAGCGACATACCAATTCAAGCAAGTTTCTATCTACGTTAACTTATATGTGTCAACGGAGTATCATTAACCTACTATATCACAAGGTAAGACTGACAAACATCAATGATTCGGTCCGACGTAATCCAAGAAATGTTCCAGGGTTATCCTCTTTCGTACTCTCGGTTAACCTTCCGCGATCAAACGCGAAATCCACCAATCCTCGATTGTTCCCGCATCACCAGAAAGGCAAACCTTGGAACCTTCGAACTATACGGCTTTTGCACGTGGCTGCTAACATCATTGAAAGATATTTGATTGGTTAGTCGGGCTGTCAGAGCGTTACAAAGCCACTTGAGCAATGGAGTGCACCGATGACATATTCCCTGGATTCTAGTTTTTGATACTCCGTGTCCTCTATCTATCCAGGGCCTTTTCTTTCTTTCTTGCCACCTATGTAATACATCTCACCAGTGGACTGGTTGCCAACTTTGGAAGCTCGATGTATCATGGCCTATCGATGTTGCCACTACAGCTTGTAAATGGCCTTTGCAGTGCTTTGAAAAAAGCTATAGATTCTTTGGAAGCGAGTGAGAGCCTGGAGGGCTTGATTGAAATCATTCGTATTAATCTATATCACAAGGATTGATATTAGGTCCATGGATATTGTGTCACCTAAAATTGTACATGCGGGTTCACAGAGCAATCAAAGTACTAAAGTACTACTACAGAGGCCAGTTGCGACTGTTTTGAGAAGCCATGGCTTTTTGCCCAATACTCAACTTTAGAATTCGAGCCTAGCTGCATAAAGAGGAAGTCTAGATTGATTCATGATGACAGAAAATGTGTTTTGAATTCAGTTTGAGTAGTTTTTCAAAAATGCTCTACATTTGTTCAGGTCAAGACCGCGGCGCCAGGAGAAGAGCCGGGCAGTAAATAATTTCCCATCAATAGACACAACCTCAGCCATGCACATCAGCTGATTATAAAGTACATAAAGTCGTAAAAATGCATAATCATCAAAGCCCCGTCATGGGGTCACGTTTTCTTTGTCTTGCTGGATCGGCCCAGTTTGGCCGGAGTCTCCAACTGATCTACCAACGGCCGGTATGGTGAAGCTAACACATGCTCCGGCGCGCGTTCCCATCTCGGCTCCCCAGGATGTGGACGACGAAGCTGCTCCTTGTGCATCCGGTCCAAGGGCTCGCCGACGACGCTGTACTTGGCCCAATTGATTGGAGGCATACGCACGATATTCTGAGGAGGAGGGATGTTGCCGAAGCTTGAAGCTGAGGAGCCGTCGGGATTCGTGCGTTTGCCATCGTCCTCTTCTGTTCCTTCCTGATCATCGGAAAATTGGACCACCGCGCCCCGATCCTCGGTCTTTAACCTGCCTGTCGCAAGATCGTGCGCGAAGGCTTCCGGGTTTGCTTCTGCTGCGCTCTTCATTCGATCTAGTGTTTGCATGTCGCGCAGACTCTGTTGTTTTTGCATTTGCAATATCGAAATTGCAGATCGAAGCGCGATCGCATCTGGATTTTCACTTTCTGAGATTGGGACTGGGGGCGGCTCAGGCTTGTAAACGGGCGGATTTGCTGGTGGGGGGCGCGGATAACTATGTGTGGCTGGGGGTTGCGATGTCGGCGAAGGCGACAGAGGGGGCGGCACAATTTTGGGCTCATTCGAAGGCACTGGCGCGAGTTGCGCAAATACCGGTGTCACCGGCGAATATGGTGGACGAGGTGGTGTCCCCGGGGGATCCTGGGGATCCTGGGTCGGAGTCTGCATGGTCGAGGGTTTGAAGATGTTCAAGTTGAAGTGGGGGGGTTGATAAGGATCGCGGTTATGACGACAGAGGGCCGGTTTGCCAGTTCAAACAGATATTTTCACAACTGCCTTTGCATCACTGTGTTGAACGAAGCAATATAGAATGAAGCGCGGTCTCGGTACCGCTCAAAGGAAGCCTTTTTGCTCAGATCACAAATAAACAAGGGTATTGGAACGAGTCTTATCCGAACTTGGCTGATGTCTTGAGCGCTGACCGCCCGTCGGACTTCCCTCTCACCGCCTGGGGAAAAATTACCAGAAATCAGACCACTCTGAGTGAGCTCTCAATCCCACTACAACTCCCAAAATGAAGCGCAAGACAGATTCACGGGGCTCCATGGATGGCAATGCCATGCCAGAGTCCAAGAAAAGAGCCCTGTCTAGTGAGGAGGCTGCTTCCCGCTTCCGCGACGGTCTATTTGACGTTGCCGAACAGCAGAAGTACACCGGCGAATACGCCAAGTCGTCTCCGTATGTACACACAAAGATGCATACCAATTTCAGAGAGCTAATACTGCTTCAATTTCTAGCTACTTGCACGGCGTCATCCACCCCCTAATTGAACCTACCCTCCTCCGCTCCGTTCGCGATGAGATTGAAACCCAAGTGTCCTTCACCGAGAAGGAAACTGATATCTACAAGATCTTCCAGTCGGGCGATCTCGCCAACCTCGACGGCTTGGACGATTCTTCTCTATCCAAGCTCCCATCTGTGTTGAAGCTTCGCGATGCGATGTACTCGGCCCGATTCCGCGAGTACCTTTCCTCCGTAACTGGCTCCGGCAAGCTCAGTGGACAGAAGACCGACATGGCAATCAACGTGTACACTGAGGGATGTCATCTGCTTTGTCACGACGACGTTATTGGTAGCCGTCGCCTCAGTTATATTCTTTACCTCACCGATCCCGATACACCCTGGCAAGCCGAGTGGGGTGGTGCGCTGCGCCTGTTCCCGACAACCACCCAGAAGGATGCGAATGGCGAGGACGTCAAGATTCCCAGCCCGGACTACAGCTTGTCCATCCCGCCCGCCTTCAACCAACTCAGCTTCTTCACCGTTCAGCCTGGTGAAAGTTTCCATGACGTCGAGGAGGTGTACCACCCGCGCGAGGACGAGGACAAGTCCAAGAAGCGCGTGCGCATGGCCATCAGTGGCTGGTTCCACATCCCCCAAGAAGGTGAGGATGGATACGAGGAGGGACTGGAAGAGAAGCTGGCCGAACGCAGCAGTCTGGCCCAACTCCAGGGCCGCGGTGATATCTATGATCTACCCCAGCCCCAACCCGTCTCCTGGGAAGAACCCGAAGTCGAAGGGAAGGGTAAGGCTAAGGCCGAAGAGCAAGCCGAGGGAGAATTCGATGCGTCCGAACTCGATTTCCTGGTCCGGTACATTGCGCCCTCGTACCTGACTCCTGATATCGCCGAGGAGATGTCCGATGCATTCTCTGCCGAGTCCTCGCTCAGCCTGGAACGCTTCATGAACGACAAGTTTGCTTCGCGCATGAGTGCATACATTGAGGAACAGGAGAGACAGGCCCTTCCTGCTACCGCTGATGAGATTCAAAAGCAGCGTGGATGGACTGTCGCTCGCCCTCCCCACAAGCACAGATATCTTTACCAGCACGCCTCCGGTAAAGAGGAGTCAGAGAACCCAATCCAGGAGCTTATGAATGTTCTGTTCCCCTCACAGGCTTTCCGTAAGTGGCTCGGCCTCATTACTGGTATTGACCACCTCACCAGCCATGATCTGATGGCGCGACGATTCCGCCGTGGAGCGGACTACACCCTTGCTAGTGCCTATGAGGGCGAAGAGCCTCGCCTTGAGTTCACTCTGTGCCTCACTCCCAGCCAGGGCTGGGAGAAGCAGGAAGAAGAGGAAGAGGAAGATGAGATGGACGAGGATAACGAAAATGGAGAGGCCAGGGAATCATCTTCCAAGGCACCCGAGCCAAAGGAAAAGACCAACGATGAGGCCGTCGAGGGACCTGCCCTTGGTGGCTATGAGATTTACATGGCTGGCGACGAGGAAGAAGAGGAAGAAGAAGATCCGGAGAATGCTGACCAGGTCCTCGGTCAGAAGAAGACCAAGGCCGATCCCGCCATCTACCGATCTGCTGGCGCAGATGAGGACGACGGCATTCTGTTCAGCACACAGGCCGGCTGGAACCGCCTCAGCATTGTGTTGCGTGACAGCGGTACACTTAAGTTCGTCAAGTACGTCAGTGCGGCAGCTAAGGGCGACCGGTGGGATATCACTGGTGAGGTTGATGTTGAGTTCGAGGATGGTGACGATGAGGATGACGATGAAGAGGGCGAGGATGAAGATGAGGAATAAGCCACCCTCGCGATTGCATCATGCTCCTGAAGTCTGATGGTAGTGCACAATATTCCAAAAAAAACCCCTCTGTAGATAGATGTATATTTGCCACTGATATGACTTGAATCGATGAAATGACATTTAATCCGAACTGGTATCCTCTCCCACGGAAGTTCTTTATTTTCCATACGGAGGGAGTAACCTTTGGGTATTCTAAAGTAGCAGGTCGGCAGGTTGGTCGGGATCCATAGATATCGCCTGGCCATGGATCATGAGGCTCCAGAGCTACAAGTCCACAGCTTCTAGTTACAATGGATATGGTTTTGATTTGCGTTATTGATGTGATCTGACTTCGGTCTTAAACCCCTGAGGTCCAGCAGCGCGAATGTCTTCCCGACTCCAGGAGTTGGTGCCCGGGTGGTCTTTTATGGGCATTAGACGAGACCAAGGCCCCCTGAAGTACATATCCGGCGACCTCAGGAGCTCTCCGTACAATCAATGGAATTATTATAGAGTTCGAGCACAATTTAGGTACTTCATACCGATGGCAATGAACAATTTACAAGGATTGAATCCAGATTTGGAGTCAAATTTTGATTCAACGATAGATCACACAACTTTGGAAGTATGGGGCATCGTAGGTCCAAAAATTCGATGGCAATAGACACCTGAGCACCTAGCAGCCCAAGGCCGCAAATTGCAAGCGCCACATACGAATGAATAGAACAGTCCTGAGTCAAGGTCTCTTGCCAAAACTATGTACAAGGCTGCAACTAATCAGCGACTTGAGACATAGTGGAACAGAGCAACACGCGGGACGGTCCCGAGTCCCCGGTGCACAGCAAAATAAGCACATGGTGGGGATAGCGGATCTGGATCAGAGCAAGGGTAGTCCAGGAAATTAATGGACAATAATTAAAGGACTATCAGAGGCTATTTGTGTTATGTGAAGTCAAGGCAATAATTAACCCCGGGGCCATCAGGTCGAATTTGAAATCACCGATCTAATGAGCAAATTTCCTAATCGGGTAGGTGGTAGACCTCAAGTATGTACTGCGTACTGCGTACTCCGTGCGGAGTGGACTGTCGGCTATTTGCAGAATTAACCAGATCAAACTACGAGTGCAGTAAGGCGTATGGGCCTCATACAAGCACATGGCTGAGAACACCAGTCGAGGACGTAAAGGGAAGCGGCGCGGATTCCCCGTGGAATCTCACAAATGCACGAGACATGTTTGGGAAATACCCATTCTGGAAGGTAATCGAAATACAAGTTTGTAATTTGAGGACTTTTGCCAATTGACACGCGATGGGCCAGGGAGACCGGAATACCCTTGGGAAAGTTAGTTCGGAAAGGGATATGCCACGGAGGGAGATCATGGAATGATCTACCAATCATGCCGGACTATCGGGGCGTTCTCCATAGTGGCAGATTTGCAGTATGCGCCATGTTGCCCTAGTGTGATCTCTCCCAAACATATGAACTCATGTAACCTTTCACACTGTGCTCCCCAGCTTCGGGGATGAGCCGGTGAGGGGATCGTCGGCGCTGGAGTTCCAGCCAGTCCTGTGCGCGAACACAGCGCAGGCAGCAGTCCTGGGTCATTACCCACATGGAAAGTTAAGCACTGGGATGCAATTTAGGATGCATGGAAGCTCTGTGTACGGGGCAGACCGTTTCCAAGGTTGCTAGAAGGTAATTGCCGGCAGGGAACTGCCTCCGGAGAACGAACGTATGGCCCATCCTACAATGTTGCGCTTCACTGTAAGAGGGGCCCATGTGAGAAATGAGAGTCACAAAATTAAAAAAGAATCACCGTACCCCCCCTGGGCGGTACGACCCGCGTGTCAACACAAGCTATTAAGACAGCAAGGCACGGCCCACGATTCCAAAAGACGTGGGTGGCACTCCTGTGAAAAGGGCCACCTGCCATGGGGGGCTTGGGACAGATGGGAAGAGCATGGTCGGGCATGGGGAGCCATGAGCGCCATGAGAGCCATGAGCAAGGCTTGGGCAAGAACCACGCACTATTGACATAACTGATCCATCTCGACACACCGATCGCATCCCTTGAATAGCGGATTGAGACCCGGCTGCCGACAGTGTGTGTACAACGTTGGTAGAGTCGTACTGAGAATTCTCGCGATCCCCAGCAGGCAAGACAGTCTGAGATAAGCGAAGCTCATCAAGTATGGAGAAGTGCTACCGTACCAGAAGTTCGAGGAATGTGCCGTAGATCGGGTGGCGATCAAGACATTCTGCAAGGCGACAATGGTGCCATGTGGCATACACTTGAAAGGGAGATGATAGACATGGTGGTACGGGAGTGTCTTGTACTGGACATTGACATGCAGGTTGTGTGTATTCGTATTGACGAGCCACAGATGTGGCGCAGCTGCCCTGGTTCGCATCCGTACTCCGTACTAATGCGCATGACTTCCCTCGGATTCGATGCATACATACAAACGTCTATTCTTGGAGTCAAACAATCTTCGGTGGAGTCACCATTTTGACTCGTCCAAAGCCCAGACAACACAGTTTCTCGGTGGCGTACCCCCGTCGGTGGCCACCCCCTTACCAAAAAAGATATCCATTGAGACAAGGACTGGATACGGAGTAGTCTGGGATAGTATACTCCGTACTCCTTAACCCAGCCCTGGAGATAAAATCGAGGATCGAATATCGAAGAGTTCGGCAGATCGCCAGATCCAGAACATGATCAACTTCGCCAAGCTTCCCGGTCACACTAAGTGTGCGATCCCGGATAGCGTCAGTTGTAAAGTGTTTTACAGCGTCCCCAATCCCGAAAGTGATTCAGGTGAAAATAGCCGCGCGAAATTTAACGGCCCATGTAACCCAACCCCCCAGTTGGTCAACATGTGATGATTCGGGCAACAGGGCGGGTGGTTGCAGGGCCATGAAGCTGAAGCTCAAGCTCTTGGAAGCATGGGCCGTAATACCCAAGGGGTCTCTGCTTGTGTCCGAGGTGTTACAAACAAACATATGTAGGGGAGGGGAGTGGATCATCACGGTTTTGGCCGATGCAATCTCCATGAGCTAGTCTGGAGCTTAGAGTGCTCTCCATATACTAAAGACAGAACGGGGTAGTTAGTTACTCGATAGTGTGCTTGTGTATTGTGTACGGCGTAATCATGATATTATCCACGTGAAGCAGAGAGGAGCCATGTGAAGAACTCATGGGAAAAGAGCAAACGAACCCTGCATTCTGCCATGTGTCCAACCTCATACGGAACGACGCAGATCCCCCGGTCGCGAATGCAGTACCGTATACAATACTATTATACATGACGTGAAGACTAGCCGATGCAACCTTCGAAACGTGTTTCCCTTGCGTTTCCCAGGGATCCGACTCAGAGAATGTATGATTTCACATGAGATTCTGATTTCTTTACCATAGTTAGAATAGATACATTATCTACGGTGTACTCCGTGCCTCACTAGAAGAAGTAATGAATATAGAGTGGACAGGTAATATACGGAGTACTCCGTACTTTCTGAAGTATACCTCACAAACGGAAAATACAATACCGAGCCTCGTGGCACGGGGTAATATTACGTATGGAAACGGGCTGACGCGGACCAAGAAAGGGGCCTCGAAAAGAAGGTTAAAACAGAACGGGGAAAAATTGGAAAATGCCAATTACCCTGAGAGCTGCAATTTTAATTTCACTCGTAGTGTTGGTATTGAAAGAAATAAAAAAAGAGCCAAAAAAGTAAAAGGTAGAAGGGGGAAGAAAAAAGAAAACAGAAAAAAAAAAAGAAAAAAACCCGAGTTTAGTTTCAAGTCTCCATTCGAGATTAAACTTAACCTCTGGGACTTGGACCTCCACCCTTTGATCTTTCTTCTTCTTTATACATACAACTTTACACTTCCTCTCGCTATTCCCGTTTTCGCGCGCTTTCTCACTCGTTCCGATTTTCCCCATCCGATTTCGCTGGACATGCAACGGTGATAGTCTCTTTCACCTTATTCCTGCACCATGGACCCTTCCGTCGCACATCGGCCATGGGAAACTGTTTCGGGGCCCCAGACCCCAAGCTCGTCACAGACGCTGCCATCGATCTCGACCTTGACCGCAAACATGCCTGGCACAGGAACAACGGCCGAAAAATCCCCTGGCAATGCATCACTGAACACCATTGAGCGGGACTCCGGGAATTGGTCAATGCCGCAAAGCACAAGTAGGAGACCTTCGCCAAAGGATTGGGAGCGGCGCGGTGCTGACCATGTAGGATCTTCTACCTACTCTACGACCACCAATGGCGCCGGCAACAACTATCCCTCCTTGCACTTCATAGCCGCGTCGCAACCATCCCCAAATCGCGGACACCCCGCGGTCGACCGCTCCCATTTCTCTTACGACCAATCGAATACCCCCTCTTCTGCTGGAACACAGCACCCCTCTCCAAATTTTAACACTCAAACGAACTCCGCCCTACCCTCCATCAACCAAAATTATGAAGCGCCTTCTCAGAGGACCAGCGTGGCCGAGACCGAGTCACGGCGCAGTAGCGTCGACAGCCGCGTCAACCAAGGGATTAGCTCCCTTGCGATAAACCCTGCCTCTCCATACCACAGTACCAATGCATCTCAATCCTCTATCGTCTCCAGTCTCCAACGAGAGAGGGGGATCCCCACCGATATGAACTCATACCGGGGGCCTCGATACTCTGGTGGTAGCCAGCCGCTGTCTCCATTGGGACCCCGTCCCACGGATAGTCAGCGGGCCAGCTTTGCCGCCGGTCGCACTGCGCCGGCCATCTCTTCGAACCCTCGATCGGAGATCTACAACGCTGAGGCGCCCACCGCGGGTATGGCATATGCCTTCCCTGACCCGGACATGGCGCGCTCCAGCTCTGTCTCATCGAAAGGAGAATCAAATCCCCCATTCTCCCGTAAAGGCAGCATGGCCGAGTCCATGAACAGCATGTACTCCGAACGGATGCCACGAGGACAACATGGTAAGTCTTGACCCATCCGCTTTGCGCTTTGCGCACGACGCGGGATTCTAACAAGCCCGGCCAGACCTACCCCAAAATGTACACCACCATTCCCTACAACACAAAGCAGTGCGCGACTTGATTGGCGAGGAAGAGGGCCCTCCGGGCAGTACGCCATACAGCCGCACCCCCGAACTCCGTGTAACACATAAATTGGCCGAGCGCAAACGTCGCAGTGAAATGAAAGACTGCTTCGAAGCGCTACGCCTGCGCCTGCCAGCGGGCCAGACCAACAAATCCAGCAAGTGGGAAACACTTACGCGGGCAATTGATTACATTACCATGCTGGAAAAGACGGTCGCCCAATCGCGACGCGATCACTCCCTCATGCAATCCGAACTGGAGGAGATGCGCGCCCAACTAAGCCAGCAAAACGGCGCTTCCCGCACACCGTCTATCTACGAGCATCACCAGATGAATCCTAACCAGGTCAATGGACAGCCTACAGGCCCTGTATTTGCCAACTTTGGCAACGGCCAAGTCGCGCCAGAACAGCCGCGCACATTACCGCCACTCATGAATGGCTCGGTGGCGCCTATGCAAGGTATCCAATATACGGATGAGCGCCGGTAGCACGCGTGAATAATCAAGGTTCGCCTGCTAAGCGGACGCGTCCGAAAGCTGTGTATGAGATATGACTAGCCACGCTGCAACCCCTATCATCAACGACTTATTCCTTTTTTTTTTACCCTCATGTTCTGGAATTATCATATCCCTCTAGATGCCCTCAACCACTCCCAGAAATGGGACTGGTTTACTGACCTTGTTTTTTTTATATTTTTTTAACTCCATGGAGTTTCTGTGTTATCCATACCCGCAATGTGTGTCTTTTTAATTTCTGCATCCACTGCATCTTAACACGGGATTAGGGATCCAACTCAAAGGGAATTCAAAAAAAAGAGAAGAGGAAAAAAACAATAGCGAGCTTGCTCGAACTCCAGTGTATACCAAATTCATCAGAACTATGGCCAAGGGATTATTGAATCTCACGTTGGTAGAGCCTTAACACATAGTAAATTGTAGTAAATTGTAGCACATCCAAATGTCATAGTTTCAGACCAGAAATCTTGTTTCAATTCTAGACCAAACACAAGTTAAGTGCTATTTTGGGTCGTGATATGCACGATTGGCTCTTCGAAGCGCCCAACCCCCGGCCCGGCGCGTAGAGAACTGATCCAGTCCGGCACTTGCAGCAACATCATCCAATCCATCAACACCCACTCTTCTGCCCCTGGTGATCTTTCTGCCAGTCGACCAATGACGGAGGTTTACAATGTTCACTGCAGATATAGGTTGTCTGAGGTTGTTGCAGAAATGGGCCTTATTGGATGGAAGCGCCCAGGTTTGTTTATAGCTTGAGCTTCGCTGCATAGTGATCGGGCTGGACTCTGCACTGCGGGTGATGCCTTTTGCTGCAGAAATAGAGCTATGTCCTTTAATCTCGGTGCTTTTCTGGTTTCTAATTCCTGGCTTCGGGTCTTTTCATTCTTCGTTTTCTTATTCTCTCGTTTTCCTTTGTTCCTCATTGTGTCAACAGCAGTCTATTGTTTATTGTCCATTGTCTATACCCCGTGGATTTATTGTTTCATCTGCGTCATCTTCTGAATAGACCGGGGTAATATTTATAGACTTGTCTTTGTTTCGTCAAATCTCTCTCTTTCAAACCACTTGTTTCCTTGACACATGGTACGAAGTGATCTCGAATCCTCCGTCGCACCCAACTAACCGCTCACAGCTTTTGCACGATAACCCCAGTGATTCGGTCTCAAAATGTTATCCAAACAGCAGAAACGACCACAGCTGCAAGTCCCAGTTCCCAACTTCCCACTGTCCTCGCCGATCAGCGAGGAGATCTCAAGTCCGTCGTGCTCCTCGGCCGAAGATCAAGATGAACAGAACCGACCCTTTGCCTTCCTCTCCAAGGCCACGAGGCTAAAGATCGAGGCACAGACGGCACAGCGAGAAAGTCGACGGGAGTCATCCAAGTTGAATTTCCGAGGCATCACGAAGAACCGTAAGAGCGTCGCTAAGCCCGTCGGCCTAAATCTCGTCACGGACTTCACATTGGCTCCAGTGCCAGCGCAAAAGAAGCATATCGTTGCTAATGTGGACGGAACGGCACCGTTTGTTGATTTGAACGACTTGAAGCTTCTGTCGAAAGTGCGAGAAAAGGAACGATCAACACAGAGATCAAAGTTTACATACAAAAAGAAACCATCACGCGGATTCCAGGCCTTGCCAGAGGACACCCATCATTTCCAGAATGAAACAGGAAACCGCAATCCATATCTGAACCCTGAGGAAGATCCCTTCCATGATAGACACGAACATGGACTCTCGCCATCAGATCGCAACGTGATGATAGGACTCACTGTACCGCATGGCGAGTCTATCGAGCGGTCTAGGGAAGCCGATGGCTCAGGAACACCACTCACGCCTTCAATACTCATCACACCAGCCAACGAAGAGGCACTCTGGAATTCACATATGAACACAAGCACTGAGATGCTTCGTCCAAGAGTGGCTTCCAGCGTTTACTCCCAGCCCACACCTCGACTCTGGCAATTCGATGCCGACGTTCCACCAGTGCCAGCTATTCCAGCCCAGCACTCGGGAGTAAAGGGCAGCCATGATGGACAAAAGGCATTGAACGTGGAAACTCGACACCAGCGTCCAGTATCAATTGATACTTGGGAAGATGTCAGCCTACCCCCAACGCCGAGAAAGAAAAGCCACACACTCTCAGTAATCACCGACCCCGACGCTGATAGGCCCCAATCTCAAGGCTGGTGGACATATCTTCTTTCACCGCTGCTTAGCCGCTCAATCAAGTCTCCTCTCAGCCCATCTTCTCCTCGGGACTCACCAACTACCCCATCGACATCAGCTACACCAGCACGGTCAGCCCTGAAAGACTGGCCCAGCCGGGAAAAGGAAATATCGTGTTTCTCACCAGACACCCCGGCAACACCAGGCCCCATTGGCGAAAATGGACGTACAGCCGAGTGGCGTGAACGGGGGAAAGAGATCTCATGCTTTTCTCCAGACACACCTGAGACAGCGGCCCCGATGGATGAGAAGGCATTTGAATTTGCTAGGTCAATGGAAGCGGAGAAGTATGAGCGAAGCCAGCCTCAAGAGCGACAACAGTCTCCGCCACCAGCCTATGTTTCGAATGTCTCGAGCAGGCAAAATACCATGTCTTTTATGTTCAGCAACGGCCAAACAATAGAGGGTGAGGCTGCTGAGTACTACCAGGCATGTGCGCATGAGCTGTTTAGCAGAACACCATACTTTCAATGTTGCAATCACGTCTGCTCATTAACCCCTGCCAATGTGACCATTCCTCCCGGGGCTGACGGTAATCGGAACGTGGCATTTGCTGCTGTGGACTCCTCTAATATCTACGATGGACTGCATGGGCTCGAAGAACCACGTGGGAGTCCTAATGCCCCAGTTACAGATTTGACAACTTCGACTAAGAATGCTGGACTGCTTATTGATATCGACTCGCCACGTCCTGCAAGCATTGCCCCTACAACAGCTCCATCCGGATACGCAGCTCATACGAAAGAGGTCCAGGCCAAGTCCCCCGCGTCTGATACAAGTGGTGATTCTTGGGATGCCTCCGTTGCCAGTGATAATGGAAAGAGTTCCGTACCACCACCGATCTCTAGAAAGCCTGTTCCAGAGCCTCAACCCCAGCCTGCTGCGCCAGCCCTAGGTCCTGATTCGACTGAAACGAGTGAACGAGGGGTTCCAGAACAGCCTGTACCGGCTCCGGCTGCTATTCCGATGCCAGAGCCCACCCCAGCGCCCACAGCTCCGCTTCCCATGCCCGAGCCCGCCCCAGCTCCCCCGCAGATCATCACCAATTTTTCGCCCCCGGTCACGAATGTGCATTATCCACCGCACCCAGAGCAGCAGGCACAGCCCCAGCTACAGCCAATAATAGTTCCACAATATGTTCCCATGTTCCCTCCAACTCAGCCTGGTCAACCAACAGAGCCATTCGTACAGGCTCCGGTGATACAAGAGCAACCACAAGAAGAGACCAGGGAGGTTCCAGACGCACCCCTACATCCTCAGGGTCCACCAATTGCTACCCCCAGATCGGAGTGGCCATGGGGGCAGGGACAACCACAACAGCAGCCGCAACCTCAAGCACAGCCTCAACAGCCCGATCATCAGCAATTGTTCAAGGACTTTGAGTGGGCTTATGATCAAAATGAACCACAAAAGGCTGCTGTCAGTACCCAAGTTCCATCTCCATCTGCTCGGGCCCCTCAGGAACCAGCTGCTGCTCAGCATATAGGGCGAATGCCCAGTCAGCGAACAAATCATTTGCAAGGACCACTTGTCATTCAGGGACGGCAATCGGGATCTGGATGGCCGTTTGCGCAAAATGCACACCCTCATTCTAATGCGCCACCTGTGCCCCCGTTGCCTACAACAATACCTGGCGAATCTGAGATGCAGAATCAACAAAGACAACAGCCCGGGGCCTCTCCGGCTCAAGATCAAGCAACCACATCTGACTCACTCCATGGAGAGCGAGCACTGCCTGCAGTGACTGAATTGAGTCCTATTCACGGACAGTCGCGAGATGCTGAGCCCATATCACCAGGATTTCAGCGTGCAGCTGGAGGCCCAGGCTCCATCCCTATGGCTGATATGCCAGCACCAGCTCCGGCATACACCCAATTTGCTCGCAGGAGTACAGGCCCGCCAAATTACGGCCTTCATCCGCCGTATCAATCCAACTATGTTGAGAATGCGACGATCGTGAACCCTGGAGGAGCCATTGGGCCACACGAGGCTCGTCGCCGCAGACTCGAGGATGAGGATAACATTGGACGAAAAGCCTGTGGCCTGCGTGCGTTATTCAAGCAGAAGAACGGACGCGCCGGGCGTGAGGGTCGAACCCGACGAAGGTGGTATCTTTTTATTTGTCTCTTCTTCTTCACAATTGTGATGATTGCCATTATTTTGGCGGTCACGTTGACAAGAAAGGGAACTTCGACCCCTGTTCAATCTCAGTGGCTCAATCTCACGGGCTATCCACCAATGCCAACAGGTGTTTCAACCATCGCCGGCACGGAGCCTCAACTTGAGAAGTCTACGTGTATAAGCCCATCCTCGATGTGGAGCTGTGCCCTTCCCAAGAGTCAACACGAATCCAATGAGCCATACGATGCAAACCAGCCCAATTTCCGTGTATCTATTCTCTTCCGCAATGGCACATACGGCAACAGTACCACTGTATCAAGCTCTGCCAATACCCGGCGCATGAAGAGAAACGATCAATTTAATCCCTCGCCTGCTGCACCTGGCGATTCGGATCAAGCCTTCATGGGCCAATACACGGACAACAACACTGCTCCCTACGCTGGCGAGGAAACCCCCTTCTACATGTCGATGCTCTCACCCGTCTCCCTCTCGTCAACAAATATCTACCGCCGCTCCGTCGACTCCAATGGCACATCGTATCCCAACATTTCAGCGATAATCCCCGCGCCGGACGAGAACTCCGACGGCTCAGCTGCCGCCGCAATGCTCTACCCACTGCCCTCGGCCCAGCCAGTCCGTCTATACAACCGAGGCCAGTCAAACGAGCACTATGGCTTTTACACATACTTTGACAAGTCAATATTCCTCACCTCACAAGACAAGAGCGTATCGGCGGATAGCAACGGCGGTACAACCAAAGAAAAAGCAAACTACCGCTGCACCTGGTCCCAAACACGATTCCTAGTCCAGATCTGGACGCAAGCCGAGAAAATGAATCGCCGATTGCTTCCTTACAGTAATGTCACGGCAACGAGTACTTCCTCTGCGTCAACACCGACATCAACAAGTACCACGCCGACATCATCATCTTCTGCAACGGACTTTTCTCGCCCGGGATCATTCCCATACCCAGTTACCATCACTGTTGATCGACATGGTGGTGCCGAGAAAAAGAAAATGTTGTATTGTTACCCTCTTCAGGATGATGGGCACTACAATATCACAGCTGTGCAGCTCCAGCTTGAGGACCGGGGTATTGGTGGCGAGTTGGTGAATCCTGCCACGGGCCTTTTCAAGGGTCTGAGTGGAACTAAGAACTCGACGGTTGAAGATTACGGGGGTGTCGATGGAGGGTCTGGAGGTTGTGGGTGCCAGTGGGCGAATTGGATATCTACTGTGTAGGTATTGGGGTTGTTTTTGATACCTGGAATGCATGGTTGGTGTTCAAAATTGGGTGGTTTATGCTCTACTTTCTTTTCTTTTTTTCCTGTTCTTTTCTTTCATTTCATTTCTGGTGTTTACATTCTCATTCTTATTTTTTTTTTATTTGCATTTGCATTTGCATTTTGTTCCAAGGTTCAGCGTGGGTGGCGATGTAACCATTTGATAGCGAGTCATCTTCTGCATGAATACACACGATACACATTCAATTACACCCCGTACAGAGTAAAAAAAGTAACTGGTTTGGAAGTATTACAATTACACTCGTTATTTTCCCTATTGATTTAGATGTTGTGCTAAGAAGAAATACCCTTGGGCGTATTGATATTTCAATCGCGCGCCATGCGCGTAGATCCACCCAATACACGTACCCACCAGGCCCGTCTAGCCTCGTTACTAGTCTTGGAGTGTGCACTTAAGAAAAACACCGGCTCTGGCGACAGGGCAGGGAAATCTGTGATCAAATCCTGGGGGTGAACCTAATAGGCCTTATGTTAAACGCATACCAAGCGTCAAAATAGTAGGCATTTGTAGTAAAATTAAGAGCTGATTCTCAATTGATAAAAAACATCCTTCAATCCAGGGTTTCTGGGCTGCCACGCTATGTATGTTAGTTCTGTTTACTCGCCTTGTCTTGGGATCTAGAATCCGAGCCACTATATTAACACGATCAATTGGTATTCTCCAAGGTCGCAATGTCTGTTTTTAAGATTGCGTGCGAATTAGATACGCTTACGAAAGTGCGTTAGTCGTCTGCTTCTCGCAAGAGGATGGTATACCTGCATCCCGAAGTCAAACCTAAAGCTTAGGCTTACCTAGGTTCAAGCTAGCTGACGATCAAGTGGGTACTGACCAAAACCTTCGAAGCTTGCCACCGGGTCCTAGCTCCTTCACCTTTAGTAGCACTATTAATAGACTCTGACTGTGAGAGTACCTGAGGTTGCATTTATCCATGAAGTATTAAAGTTTGCAATTTCAGTCTATGAGGCGATGAGTGTGGCAAATTTGCCAGGCTAAGTTGGGTTGGGAAACCTTGACACAGAGAATAGAGGCTGCTGTCACTTGTCGTTTGATTATCTCACTGCTCCTGAAGTCGAGGGCTTTGTAGGTGAGATTGTGGCAGTTCATGGAGACTATAGTCCCAACCTCGGTAAATTTCAAATATCTATAGATCTTGTGGGCGAACGGATCTGGGAGACTTATTTTACTGGGGTCGTGCGTGTACCACGCGAATTTAGGATAGGTAAGAATTATATTAGGTACTGATCTATTCCCAATTTCCCGGATAAAAGGCATGTAAAAAAAAAACAAAAAGAAAAAATTCAAGGACAAAAACTCCATGAGCGCCTCAGAGATCTCAGTTCTCGTCCGCTGAACCTCGGGCTCCAATCAATGGGCTGTAGCCGTTGATGAGAACACAAGGTCAGAAAGAATAGAGCAGTTATCCCAGGGCTGAACACCGGCATCAAAGGTCGTAGCCATAAACGTTAAGTATAGGCGAGATGTTTATGCCAGGTACATGGCAGCACCGTAGGCCATGACGGCACCCATAGCACCAACCTGGGGGATAGTGACCTTAGAGCCAGGGTTGGACGCGGGGTAGTCACTGGGGGAAGCGCCAGAGCCGGAGCCAGATCCGCTGCCAGAGCCAGAGCCAGATCCGCTGCCAGAGCCAGAGCCAGATCCGCTGCCAGAGCCAGAGCCAGAGCCGGATCCGGAGCCAGAGTTAGAGCCGGAGCCAGAGCCAGAGCCAGATCCAGATCCGCTGCCAGAGCCAGAGCCGCCGCCGGAGGAGGGGGAGGCACTGGGGGTTCTGCTTGGAACGTAGACGGGGATGGTGGAGCTACCACGGCAGCTGAAGCATGGGGCAGTGGAAGTGACAACGACAGTGCCGTTCTTGCCACCGTGGGTGCCGTTGTTGGGGGCACCGGTAATGATGGGGTGGGTGCCAGTTGAGGCACCGGTGGGCTGGTGGCTGATGCTCTTGCCGTGAACAGGGGGCTCGTGCTCCTGGTGAGCACCACCGGCAGAGACACCGGCGGCGAGAGCCAGAATGGCAACGGAGGGGGCGGTGAAGTACATTTTGATAGAGCGTGAAAGAGGCAGCTAAGCGAGGATTAGACGAGATATTCCAATGTTTAAGGCTCCAGAGCCTATGGAAAAGTGTAAAGAGCTTACCTGTGGTAGCAATGTGGATGCGATTGAGACGAGATATGGAAAGTGGAAATGGGACGACGAAGACTCTATACTTATATCTGCCCTGGACATCCAAATGCGGTCTATATAGGCCACTTTTTGAGTTCACATGGTGATGACATGAACAGACAGAGATTTTCAGGTGGAAAATGTGCCTCAGAATTGCCGCTCTGTTCCTATCTGCCCTCGATAAAATCCACGGTTGGAGGAAACTTGCTTCATTTCCGCATCCGGGTAAGGGGAGATAGATGTCACACTGGGGCTTCAGCCCAGGACCCACCGTGCAACCCCAATTCGATCGGGTTAAGCCGAAGCTGGCAGCAGTATGGATTGGTTAATTTTTCGCATCAAATGGTGGGGATCATTCAGCAATGTTGAAGATGGCTAAACGTACGCGGCCAGTTGGGTCACGTGTTGTGTATTCCCAAATAGGAAATCGAAGCAGCGCAAGCGGTTTCAAGACTGCTCCACCGAAGAATTCCAGAAGATCAACATGACAGCTTTGAAGACAGATAATCAACGGAGGCGGTTTCTATGTCATTGGGCTGTGACCGCATTTCTCTAACACTGACGCCGAATGCGTGTCCAGGATGAGGGCAGAAACTCCCAATTGGCTTTCAGATGGCTCTGATATCACAGCCGTATGTGCAACAAAATCCACATTAAACGAGCCTTGCCCAAATGGCCTAGCGAGTGTTTGTTCGCATCATGGCCTTCAATCCGGTGTCATTGCTGTAATGATTTCGATTGGACTCGCCTTCTCATGGGCGGCGACATTGTTCCTCGCCCTCGACGGCAGACCGAGAGAGACCGAGGAACTTCATTTTCACAGCCTTCTCGTATCTCACAGCCTTCTCGTAGCAGTATGGAGTATATCTCCATAGATGCTCTGGTCCCGCTGTTGGCGGGTCTCGAGCTTCCAGTTGGCTGTAGGGCTGACATTTCGGCCAATCAGATCGGGATACTGCATCCGGCACAGCCCTTGAGGCGCGAGGTATGTCAACGCGGCTCAAGCCAATTTCGGCTCCCTTTTGGCTGTGCGCAGAAGTCGATCGCCCCAGGATATGTCATTCTTAGTCCAAAGCTTCTTTCTCTTCGGGGCAAGGGCGTTCACGTTGGATCTACCTCCGATCATTGACTTATGCGATGTTGAGAATGTGGCTGGCACGGCCAATCGAGTCGTGCCATTTGAGGTGAGCTGACGAAAATTCAGTTGATGTGCATCTTCCGTCTGCTGCTTTCAAAAAGGAAGACGTATGTCATGGACACTAAAGGCGACCAAGGCGACAAATGTTGAGAAAGTCAAGTTTGTTTTGCCGGGAGAGAACTCCGCATAGGCTGGGGTACTCCGTATTCATAGTGAAGATGGTAAACTATACAGGGTACAGGGTAAACGAACTACTGATTGCATCCTTTCAGAATTAAATCATAATACTAAGAAGGCAATGACAGTACCATCCCTAGTACATAATGTTTATCACAGGAATAACACCGTTCAGATGTTGCAAAATACAGAGCTGTTCAGTCTTGGCGGTCTTGGCCTCCCTTTCTCCGAATGGACCTCAACGTCTCACTGCCACGTCTTGAGCAATGCGACGCCCGGACCGCAGTCATTCTCTCCTCTCTCCCGCGAATTACGACAACGATGCATCCTCGCTACGGTCGCCCTCCGAGCAAGATTCCGATTCCGATGACGATGCCCTCCTCCACCAGAACCGCAGCACCATGGAGCTGGCGGAGCACGACCGGGCCGTGCTAGAGGACGAGGAGGAACTTGAGAAACTCTTGACCCGTCGAGGTGCTGGACAGGGCATCAGGAGAATATTCAGCCCCCTTGATCGCAGTGTGACGATCGGAAAGAAGAAAAAAGAACGGCGACCGCGGAGAGGGTCCCGCCGCGAGCGGGTCAGCGAGGATGGCGAGCTGATGTATGAGATGGAGGAGGGCATTGGAGATGACAATGCATCTCTCTTGAGTGGCTCAACGTTGGATACTGATGAGAAGGAGGATTACGCAGATGAGCCGGTAAGATGAGCCGCGGACCACTTCTCCAATGCTTGCTAATTCAGCATTTGATACAGCCATCGCGGCCTTCTTGGTGGAAAATCTTATTTATCGCCGCTATTGTGGTCGTTCTGTTCCTCATCCTTGTGCTTGGTGCATACAAAGCCTCCAACGGCTTCCGGGCTACGCGCGCACACTCTACAACTCTCCTTTCAAATGGCACTGCCCTGTTTGCACCAACCACCATTGTGATATCCCTCGATGGATTCCGTGCCGATTTCCTGAACCGCGGTCTCACTCCGGCTCTGAACTCTCTCGTCGCGAATGGTGTGTCGCCGCAATACATGAATCCCAGTTTCCCGAGCGTGACCTTCCCAAATCACTTCACCCTGATGACGGGGCTTTATCCCGAGAGCCATGGGATTGTGGGCAACACATTTTGGGATCCCGAGATGGAGGAGGACTTCTACTACACACATCCAGACGTCAGTATGCAGCCCAAGTGGTGGATGGCAGAACCACTTTGGGTAACGGCTGAAAAGCAGCGTGTGAGAACCGCCATCCACATGTGGCCTGGATCAGAAGCGCATATTGGAGATAAGGAGCCGAGCTATGTGGACAAATTCAATAGCACGGAAGCTCTCTCTCGAAAGGTCAATCGCATCTTCGAGTTTTTGGATCTACCCGGCCTTGAAAACGAGTCGGAAATTGCACCCGAGCGACCGCAATTTATTGCGGCTTATGTTCCAGACGTGGACCGGGATGGGCATAAGTTTGGCCCCAACAGCACGCAGATACAAACAACGATCTCCCACGCAGATAGCATGATTGCTGGTGTCATGGCTGGCCTGGATCAACGCAATCTGACTCATGTGGTCAACATCGTAGTTGTTTCAGACCATGGAATGGCCTCCACATCCACCGAAAGGTTGATCCAATTGGACGATTTGATTGACTATAATCTTATCGACCGTATTGACGGATGGCCATCCAGTGGCGTGCGCCCCAAGCGACCAGAAGACCTGGAGACACTCCAAAAGCAGCTAGAGAAGGTGGCACCGGACTGGGAGCATGCATTCGAGTTTTACACACGAGAGACCATGCCCGAACGGTATCACTTCTCGAACAACGAGCGTATTGCTCCGTTGTGGGTTATCCCCAAGACAGGTTGGGCTATCGTCGATCGCTCAGAGTTCAACGTTAAGGAGGCTTTGAAGACCGGCGATGTATACCACCCTCTCGGTATCCATGGGTATGACCATGAGAATCCGTTGATGCGGGCGATCTTTGTGGCGCGGGGTCCAGCATTCCCACACAAGGCTAACAGTCGAGTCGAACCTTTCCGTATGTCCAACTGTCACCTTATAATGTCATTTGCTAACATAACTTACTAGAAAATGTTGAGGTATACAATATCCTCTGTGACTCCTTGGGCGTGGACCCTCTTCCAAGCAACGGAACCCTCCGTCTCCCATTGAAGCCAGTTGGTCTGCATTCCGATGAGACTGCACCCGTCCTTGAGACGCCCTCTGATCCGCCGGTTCATACCACGACGACAGCAGGACCGCCAGTCCAAACATCAGAGCCGTCGGCCACGCCCACCAAGGCAGCAAGCGAATCACCCTCTGCAGACGAGGGCGATGACAAGAAAGGTAGCTGGTGGGACACTATTTGGGACAAAGTCGATGATTTCAAAGACTGGGCTGGCGGCGTTGCAGATGCTATCAAGGGCAACCACCCGCATGCTGACAATGAGTAGCCTGGAAGCTTGGAACTTTTTGTCACCCCTGTCTGATACTTCAGTATATATACCCGTCACCATATCTCACATATAATGTTTAAATTTTGGAATTTTGCCCGGGCGCCATGAATCTTAGAAGCTATCGAACAACTATCCGTAGTGTTTCTGAAGTCGTTGTCTATTCAAAAAGAGTCAAAGAGTCACATCTCAGACCATGTGTACATTGCTACTTAAGTAGTAATGGTGTGCTTCTAAAGTTGGTTGCCATTGTCAGTGCAGTGACTCAGAGCCACTCACCTAGCTATATGCTCACATTAAAATTCTTTATTTCTCTATCTCTCTTCCCACCCTCGAATGTTCCTCGAGGTCTGTTGAACTATATTGAGCAAATCCTTAAGTCTTGGTAAACGCTCCTAATTAGGATTTCCAAAGGTTAAAGATGTCTTAAGCATATCTACAGAATAGGAATTCTCTACATGGAGCTATCATTGCTCAAATGGAAGGCTTAAGAGCCCAGATATAAGCTCAATTGATTTTTATAAGTTTCAATCTCCTACATGGAGTTCGTAATTAACCCATAACTTTAGAACCAAAATCTTGCGGGTTCACGAAAAGCCAGCTCGCTACTTAAGTACTTAGTAGAATACATCTGTAAGTACTACTTATGTATTGACTAGCAGAATAAATATGATAAAACTGACCCTGCAAGCGTTACAAGCACTGTATCGCTTGGTAGATTTTGCAACCGCAACTCGTTCCTTGATCTGTAAAGTTGTCTTCGCAAGCTATCGAAGGTTTCCTCTTCCTCATGTCCGCAGTTGAGCTTGACGGAGCCACTTGCATGATTGAGTGTACAAATTTTGCTAGAATCGTCGGAAGGGGGATATACTCATAGTTGAGGCAACATTCACCGACTAGTTTAGGAATGGGGAGTTATTCTGCTTAAGATTGGTCTGAAGATGGAGGGATGTAAGACAACATCGTAAGATGCACATCTCAGCAACAAAATATAAACAGATGTCCCGAAGTTTAGCATAGGATTGCACAAACTTATATCCAATACGAACGAAATAGCAAAACTTGGGTGCATAATCTACTCAATTTGATAAGCAAGAAGTAGTTCTAACTAAGTCAAGGATGATTAAAGTGCGAGCCTTTGTAAAAAATATATAAGCTAGAGTCACAACATACAGCAAAGACAGATCAGAAGGTTGGTCATATTTCGGTCTGCCTAGCGATGACCAAGACCTGATGGTCGATGAACACAACATCGTGTTCAATTAAAGGGTTCGGCGAGCGCCTCATTAGCAGGCCGAAGTCTAGACGTAAAAATCCACCGGTCATGGAAATGCTAGTGTTAATTGTTTGGTATTATCCGGTAAAGAACAGCTCACTGTGGCTTCCAGAGGATTGCTGTTATACCACGAAATAGTCACCAGTCAGTCCAAAGACGTTCGAAGGTATGCTCGTCGATATCTGATTCAAAAAAGTAGTTGGTTAGAGATTTAGTATTGTTTAGATTGCTGTATGTCTTTTTGATCTTTGTGATGGTTTGAAGTAATTTTCGCAACAATGGATTCGTTAGAGTGACTGTATAGTTTAGATCGATATTGGGGAGCTGAATTAAGCTGCGTAGAGTAGACTTAGGGGAGTCAGACGCAGCCAAATCAGACACATTTTGATTAGGCGCAAAGATCCACTATGAACAATATTGCTCTCAACATAGAGATGTTGAGAAAGTTACAGTTCGAGCAAAAGCAATAATCGGATTTCTTCGACGTCGAGTTTTCATAAATTCAATTCGATCCAAACCTCCCGTCATTATGACGGTGTCGAGGTCGTTGGCGACCTCTTCAAACATCAATTAGCATCATTTCCGTTGCAATGTTCTATTCAGCTGGTGCCAAGATAAACTTACGCTTGGGGGTAGAGGCTGGCGCCTCCTCTTCCTTGGCCCGGATGGACAGGGCATCGGCCTCAGCCTTCACCTTCGATTTCGATGTGTTGATCTCGTTGATACTGACGCGTTTTTAAAGTGGTATCTTTGCCAGAAGTAAGATCTTTATAAGAAGTAAGATTTATGCAAGAGGTGAGAATAGGTTGGTGGCTTGACTGCCTGATTAAATGGAAAAGGTGACTGAGAAAGGAAAAACAAACCGGGTGGGCTTTGGGGGTTTCCCTGGGAGTCCATGACAGGAACATCCTCTTCTTCCATTGCGAGGTTTTCAATGTTAGGAAAGCGCGACTCATAGTTGAAAAACAATAATTGCATATCAATATCTATACATACAGTAAGGCCCACAGCCAGTCGTAGGGAGTTAGCACAGAAACATACACAGACCACATTATCTCTCATCAATAACAGCGCGCTGCCAGAACTAACAGTTCTTGATTAGTGAATTCAACATCTCGTTCAATCGGAGGGTTTGGCTCTCGTCTTATGAGCAAAGCGAAGTCCAGCCGCAAGGGCCCACCACGAATCACTCTACCTTCGATTTCGATGCGTTGATCTCGTTGAAATCGGGTGTGAGGGGCGATTCGGGTGTTGTGTTGCGTATCGAAAGCACAATCTTGCCAAACTTCAATGACAACCCTGAAGGGTGGGCTGGAGGTTGCATGTATAACAACGACCATTCCAGGTCGAACTGGGGCGTTTGTAGACCACCACTGGACGTCTCCAAGCAAGTATGAGTACGACTCTGAGACACCGACTTCCAGTATAAGGGACGGTGGTGGCGAATGGCCTGAGCTGGGTATTGGTCCTGGCCGGAAAGCCCAATCTGGTTCTTTGCTTGTGGATACTCCTCGTATACGTTCTGAGCCCGAGGGCTCGAAATCACGATTGGAGAACGAGAGATGCATCTGCAACAGACATTCAATCATAATGCTGGCAAAACCCTGGCAGAAATGCTCATGTTGGTGATTAGGCATGATTCGATAGAGAGCGGCGCGTTGGGATCTCCACAGCGTGACTGTTGTACCATGAAACAGTCTGCAGTCACTCCAGAGACGTTCGAATGTATCCTCGTCGATATCTGATGCAAACAGATAGTTGGTTGGCGGTTTGGTTTCTTTCGGATTGCTGTGTATCCTTTTTATTCTTGTTACTGCTTGAGACAATCTTCGCACCGACGGATTCGTTAGCGTAACTGTATGATTCAGATCGATATTCGGAAGCACAGTCGAGACAAGGGCAATCGAGTCAGACGCAGTTGAGACAGAGGCAGTGAAGTCGGACGCAGTCGAGACAGACGCAGTCGAGACAGGCGCAGTGGAGTTAGACGCAGCCAAATCAGACACATTTTGTAGATAGATCCGCTCCCCGCTTCTCCCTTCTTCTTCTTCTTCTCTCTCTCTCTCTCTCTCTAGTTGAGTTAGACGCGGGTAGATTGCCAGTCGGATGCATTACTGGAAGGTTGTCAGGTTGAAGAAAGTGCGTACGGGGAGATACGATACATACCAGGTGGATTGGGGCGTCGGCCCCGGTCGTCAGCGGCAGGAGCATTCACGCCAACGGCAGGAGCCCTCACATCGTCGACAGGAGCATTGTCTCCGTCCATTTCGCAGTCGTTAATTATTGAGAAGGTGTGTATTCTGGTTATCAAGTGTGAAGTGCCCATGGGATTCGGTGGACACAGCTGGCGTCAGATGACGATAACAAAGAAGATGAATGCCGCCTGTGAAAGTCGACACGGCTGCCTCAAAATATTAGGACTATCGAGCTGCGATTCTTCAATGGACAAGGTGATGCACCGATGACAGGTGCTAGAAATGTACCTAGGTAGTTATGCGGATGACGCCACTGGGCGGGTACGGGATGATCGTTGGGGCTGAAAGTCAGGCGTTGGAGCCGAAACTTCGGACCCGACGGGGGTACTTGAAGTGGCAAGAGCTTTGTGAAGTCAGGTAACTATAACTGTTTGTTTAATACCTCGCTCTCTGGCACCTCCTGCCTTTTTCCTTGATTATCTCTCTTTGTCTAGAAGAATCAATGTCTTCCTTCAGTGTAAGGTCACTTGAGTAGTGTCATCACATCAGATAAATAAGACTTTGCAATATAGAGTATTGTAAATGAAGCATACTCCACACATGCTTCTTGAAGTTCGTTTTTTCTTGGCCAACCATCTATTGACTCTAACTTTAGAATATCTGTCTACATTTTCCTATAGCAAAATTGGAAAAGGACAAAATTCCCAAAAACGATCTTATCAATGAACCAACCTTGGAAGCCGATGTGAACTGTTATATATCTTACTCTAAAGCAATTTTGGAACATCACGAAACTCGTTTCAGGTTTGTATTTTTGGATTCTAGCTATCATTCCAATTCTATACCTAGGTAGCATGTAAGGATATCTAGGATTGTATTATTGTGTCACAAGGAATGTAAAATTTCCAAGGTTGAAAGTAGTGTAAAATTGGGGGTGGTGTTTTCTAAAGTTGTAGAACTAATCTGCAATTGTTTCCATAGCTGTTCATGAAACCAACAATGGGTGCGTTTTCCATCAACCAGCCAAGTGGCCGAGCAGTAACTCAGCCATCACATCTTCCTTGGTCTAGTGGTGATGATTTCCGCTTGTCATTAACACCGATAAGCGCGGGAGACCGGGGTTCGATTCCCCGAGGGAGAGATTTCTTTTTTGCTCCTGTTTTTTTTTTTTTTTTAAATTTCTTTTTTTGTTTGTAAGTAACCCTGGAATTAATTCGGAGTACTCCGCGATAGATGATTCAGTCAACAAGGCTTCCAGGGGTTTCCCCTAGCGCATACCCGCATTTGTGGTTGACTTTGGACTGCATTGTTACCTGCAGCGGTGACTCAACTCCAGGCAGACACCGCAGCAAACAAAGCGAAACTGAAACCCAATCAAACCGTGGGGCGAATCCTGTAGGTATGTGTCAGGAACTCAGACTCAGACTCAGACTCAGCTCACATATCATGAACGATCAGCAAGCCTGGGCTCCTAATCGGGTGTCCGAGCGTTGATGCCTGACTGAGGCTCTTCGGGGTCTGAAAGTATAAAGCAGCTGCAATCCAAGGTAAATTTGAGATACTTCAGGGACTCCCCCTGATTGCTTTACCATCGCTTTAGCATCTACCCATCTCCCCCCAAAGCTGTCACACTCGATCGCAGTGTTGTCGCCCACCGAAATCATGGATCTCAACCAAACTCGAACAACGGCAGAGCCGTTTTCAACCTCTGATACGGCCATGCTGGAGGCTCTTGTACCAGGGTTTGGATTCATTTCTCGTTTCTTGATGTCCTATCTCAATTTCGACATTACCGCGTACTTCCAACTCATGATTGCATTCACCATATTTGGCGCGACCTTCCGATACGTCTTCTACTTTATTTGGGAGCGATTCAGTGATTTCTTCGTTTCGAGCGCCGAGATCCGCCTGGATGATGAGATCTTTAGCTATCTCATGTACTGGGTGTCGCGCCAACCTCAGATGAGACGCACCAATCGGTTTGTCGCCGGAGTCAAGGCCAACGGATACATCAGTGATTCAGACAGCGACGACGAGGATGGAGATGAGATGGATGATGAAACCAGCTGGGACACGGGAGATAGTGCCACTGCCACCGACGAAAGCTTCGACACCTACTGGGCCAAGGTCGTCAGCCGCGACAAGTACAAAACATTGCAGTTCACGCCCGCCCAAGGCTCGCATTACTTTTGGTACAAGAATCGCCCGATGATGCTCACACGCTCCAAGGAAGATGGCGCCACACGCTACGTTTTGAACAACGAACGGCTTTACCTATCATGCCTAGGCCGCGATCCGTCAATTCTCAAATCGCTCTTGTGTGAAGCACAGCAGGCGTACGTTGAGCGCGATGGTAACATGACTGTCATCTACCGTGGTGGGCGCTATTCCCCTGGATCCTCGTACTACTGGATCCGGTGTATGGCTCGTGTCCCACGTCCTCTATCGACTGTGATTCTGGACCAGAGTCAAAAGGATGACTTTGTCGATGACATCAAGGAGTATCTGCACCCCCGGACACGTCGCTGGTATTCAAACCGCGGTATCCCTTACCGCCGCGGATATCTTCTTCATGGACCACCTGGAACTGGTAAAACTAGTCTTTGCTTTGCTGCAGCTGGACTCCTCGGGTTGAAACTCTACCTCCTCGACCTGAACTCATCATCCTTGGACGAAGAATCACTCTTATCTTTGTTTGCTGATCTGCCACGTCGATGCATCGTTTTACTTGAGGATGTCGATTCGGCCGGAATCGCCAAAACCCGAGGTGCCAACCAGACAGGTGTCCCCGCGAGCGATACGTCTTCAGATGAGGATGAGGCTGGAGCCGATGCTAAAGTCGTCACGGAGGAACCCAAGAAAGGTGGCGTGACACTTTCGGGACTTTTGAACGTCATCGACGGCGTTGCTGCCACCGAGGGCCGGATTCTAGTCATGACCACCAACCACGCTGACAAGCTGGATCCAGCCCTCCTTCGCCCCGGCCGTGTTGATATGACGGTCACTTTCGGTTTCACGAGTGAAGCAGATATCAAGGAAATGTTCACCTCCATTTACGTGACTATGGAGGGTGACCTGGCTCGCAATCAAATCATGTCCGCAATCACCAACGGCTTACCTCCAAGCGTTACAGCTAAGGTACCTGGAATCATGGACGGGCAGGTTGAGATGAAAGGGAAAGTGGACGAGAAGGAAAAATTCCAGGCTCGACATGAAGCTCTGCGATCAAGCATTTCCGGGTTGGCCGCTGAATTCGCCGCTGTTGTCCCGGCTGGCAAGTTCACCGCTGCTGAGATCCAGGGTTATCTTCTTAACCACAAGGAGACCCCTCGAACTGCTATCGAAGGTGCAGCAGAATGGGTGGAAGCCTCTCTTGAAAAGAAGCGCGCCAGAGAGGAAAGCGAGAACTCTTCATAACAAAACCCAAAAAGATAAGAATAATGAATCATGATGACAATATCCTTGAGTATCACTGTGTAGAATTTCCGTGCAGCGTCATTTGCATTTTTCCAACTATCTTTCTAACGGTTCGATTGTGAGCTGGTGTAATACATACAGCTTTTTCGGATCTTTTTCTGATCTACATCGGCGGTTTTACGATGACGAGGTGACAGAATGGCTCATACACCCGTGGCTCGAAGTAGAAACAAGGAACGAGTGTCTCATTGGTATCATTAATCGAATATGCAGTTGTGGTGTATCATCGCAAAAAGAATAAACATAACGAGAAAGATTTCAAGCAAGCGAAGCCGTCTTCCCGTTGATATTCACATCAGCAACATACATACACCTATCAGTCCTTTCCTCGGTGCAGAATGCATGGAGCAACATGCGATCACCACAGCCACATACGGTTCCACCACCAGGTGAAAGCAGACCCGTGTTAGCAGCGCTGATCATAGGAGTGTTGTTCTTGGTGTAAGGACCCGTGATGCTGGAAGCTGTCGCGTAGCGAACGTCATATTTGGGATCGGTGAAGCAGTGTGTCGAGTAGAAAAGGAAGTATGTATCACCATGCAGAATCAGATTTGGGGCCTCGACAAGTGGACCATCGTTATCGGCTGTGCTGCGATCGAGGATTTGCACGGCTTCGCCGACGGGCGTGAATCCATCGGCGCCAACCTTTTGGAGAAGGATGGGCGTTCCAACGAGTGGTTCCACGCCATTGTTGCAGTCTCCTCCGTGGCCTTTACTGTTGCCGTCTACCTTGAAGACAACGTACCGACTGCCGTCCCTGTCCTTGAAACCGGCCGGATCGATTGATCCGCCGCGATCAAGGCGACATGAGAGGGGAGTTTCATTTGGTACGTATGGGCCAGCAGGCTTGTCTGAAACGGCTGTGCCAACACAGTGGTGGCGAAGATCTGACTTTGCTTCCCCAGAGTAATACATGACATATTTTCCGTTGTCCTGGAAATAAGTTAGCCTTCGGTTTCAGTTTTAGGTTTTCGTCGGATGCCGAGTTCACTTACTAGCATCACCACATCTGGAGCCCAGTGGTCGATCTCAGTCTCCCATGATGCCAAGGTGGGAAGAGCTTCGACATCGAGTAAAGTCCAGGTATTAAAGTCGTCAGACCTTGCGACTTGGACGCGCTTGCCATTGCCGTTGGTACCAAAAGCATACCATTTGCCATCGGCGGCTTTCATGAAACTAGGATCAGGGAAGTTGGTATCCAGGCCTTTCCATGGACCCTTTGCTCTCTGTTGGAGTAGCGGCGAGCCCAGTACAGTGGAGAGGAGTGGAAGGGCCAACAAGGCCCACGTGGAGGGAGATGCAAACGAAAAGGGCTGCATATTTAGTGACTAATAAGAGAAGTGAGAGAGGAAAATAAGAAATAAGAAAGTCGCTGATCTCGAAGATCTGGAGATGATAGACAGGACCAGGGAGGGGAAGAGACCCTTTATATGTGCATTCATTTACTCTCTCACTACACAATACATATCGCCAAGCGGGCCCCGAATTGGCACTCTCTTGGGCTGCTTGGTACCATAAGTTTAAAGCGGAGTCTGTCTCACTAATTGGGAACAATGGCGGTCAAATGCGCACCCAAACACCTGATATGGAGATC